CATTCAAATGCTGCCGACTTATAAATGTATTATCTCAATATTTGTAAAATTGTTCATATTATATGAAAAAATTGGGAAGAGCGACAAATAAAATATAAATGAAAGTGTAAAAAAAATTTAAAAATTTAAAAAAAGTTTTAAAAATTACAAAATGTAATGTACTTTCATTCGCCAATTGTTACGACCATTAGAGTAGCAGTAATTTTTAGTGTGCTACACCTAAACAGTCGGATATTTGTAAATTTAAAGCGTCGTCGACGTAACTGTACTTATGCCATGCACCAGTATAGTCGGCGGTAATTCGGCAGTCAACTCTGTAAGTAGCTCAATATAACGGGCACTGCGCTCTCTAAAGTCAGGTGTGCCTATTTGTGGTGGTGCAGCCAAATATATGAAGGAAACAGCTGTCTGGTCAGAACGTTCTCGTATTATTTGATTGGCTCTGAAACGAAATAGATAAAAAATAGTTCTTCGTGTGACTAAACTAACCGCACTATTATCATCATATGTCACTGTGTATGTATTCTCTATGTACTAACAATTTTTACACACTTGCAACATGTTGCTCTCGGGGCTGAAAATTTTGTAAAAATGGCCAGGCTCTCTAATATTTTTAGTGTTAAACTATTCAAGCAATAAAACATAATAATAACAATAAAATTCGCTTAATACAAATCCTATGTGAATTCGGACGATAATCTCACCCACTTTCTATATAAGGGAACTGTTAAAAATTTCTAAAAGCGCAATAAAAATAAATTATATTCGGGATTAGTACGGAAAGGTTTTATAGGAACCGGTGTCAAATATTTTCGATGTGCACAGCACCGCCCACATTAGGGTGAAAATCCATTCGTTCCCACGAGAGTCGGGTCTACCTAACCGGAAAGGACCCGGATTTTATCGGCATAATTCTGCCGCTCCTACAACAACAAAGTGAAAATCCATATCTCAGGACCTGCTGGGCCGATATCAATAAAAAAAACCAAGTTTTTTTCCATGTAACAAAATTTTAAATTCTATCTAATCCTTTCACTTTCCAGTATACAAATCAAGAACCTATCCATGTAAAATGCTACACAATAACGTTTCAAGAACTCACAAATTTGTAGACCCCAGTGCCTATGGCTGACTTTTTACCGAAAATATCGGTCAATCTGTGAGATATATGTATTATTGAAATACGAGAAAATGTTTCTTTGATAATAATTGTGTTAAAAATGGGTTGAATTGGATAAATTCTTCCCTTAGTTCTATATATAAGTTTTTCACCGGTTTTTATCTTTTTAGCAATATTTATGAATTGTTTTCTTTCACTATTTTTACTGTTATCAATAACAATTGACGCGAAGTAAATAACATAAATATATTTTAGTAAATTTGAAACAAATTCATATTTTTTTCAGAACCGAAAATTAGTACTATGGATTATTCAAATTTATTTTCCGTAGCTGTATGTCACTTTATATGTACGTATATTTATTCACATTTAGATTTTCATACACTGTAGATAACCATTTATGCTAATGAAGAAATATGTAAATAAAATTACTCACCTTTGCATATAAAGTAGTGAGCGATTGATATTTTCCTCAGTGATAACTTCATGATCTTCGTCGGCATGACTTGTGAATTGTTTCAGTATGCGCGAATGGCTTGTAAAGTCCGAATCGCTGTTCCATTCTTGAATCTGGAATAGTAAAATAAATGTAAATTAACTAATGTCATATGCTTTTACTTGCTACACCTAATTACCTCAATGATATCTGCCTCAATACGTAAACTCTTCAGTGATTGTTCCAGTTTCATTCTGGAAAAAGCATCCAACTGTGGCAATTGTGTGTCAAAAGAACTAAAGGGTAAAAATTTAAACATGTTAACTGAAAACAAATACAAAGAAGATGCCACAGCGTAAATTTGCATCACCTTATATTCGAAATTGCATTATTAGACTCGCAGAGAAAAACGCGCAAACGTAAATGTTTCCATTTGGCAAGCATATTTATTATCACGGCTAGTTGCATCATGAATAGTGAGACTACATCGAAAGGATTATTTGAATTTGGATTGAAAACGTTTATTGGCCAAACGTCTATATATCTTAAGTGTTTGCTCCTGTTAAATAAAGCATACCGATTTGCAAATTAGTTAAATTAACAGAGAACTGCATATTCTTACTTGGCAATAAAGTTTTTGTCCAAACGATGAAAGTGTCGACACAAGCATAAATTCTTCTTCATACGCAACACATCGCTCATAATCGCAACATATTCCGCAACATCAATATGTTTCTCTTCACCATCACGACGAATTGGAAAGTTTTGAATTTCGCCATGATTAAATCCTTCGGTTTTATAAGGCGAAGTGCCACTATAAAAGCATAAAAATAGTCATATGATTGCAATAGAATAAGGTATAGGACTTACGCCTCGAAGAAGTCCCTTGGCGTTTCACTGTCATAGAAACCTAAGATTATTGTATTCGGTTTCATTGCACCTATACCGGATAAACGTATTAGATGTTGTACACCTTCACGTATGGATTTGGCTAATGTCACTTCAGCAAAGGCCTTCACTTTCATATGATCCACGAATGAGAGCCAATATTTGTTTTCTTCGATCGTTGGATCTACGACGGCTGTATAGTCACCCACCTTTACATGTCCGATTACGTAGAGGCCACCCTTTTTCATGTCATTAACAAAGTCGACAAGAGGGCAACATGAACGAGGCGATGACACCAGCAATAACATTTGAGGGCGCCAGAATTTAACATGATCCTTTCGTGAATCCAACATTAGCAAGTACTTGCGTACCTAGAAACGAAATAAGTCTTTAGTAAATTAAGAAGAAAAACGTTAATTTCAGTAGTATCTCCTCTCATACATACCTGGTGAAACATGAGCGCTTGCGAAATAGAACCCCACTGTGCACCTTGTGAAGCTGGCGAAAACAAATGCAGCGCTATCACCAAAATTAAACACAAAATAATACTCGACGACGCGTATATTGGATTTATCACGAACATCATTATGAGTGTGCCAAGCAAACCAATCAGACAGGTATGCCAAGTGAAATATTTGAAGAGTGGACGAAAATTCGGTGCACCAGTTAACTCGATGCCCAAACAAGCCAAATTGGTTGCCAAATAGGAAAGCATAAATAATACTGAATTGACCTGTGCAATTGTATTCAACGAACCAATTAATAGAATGCATTCTACGAGCAACCAGCTTGTAAACACTGCCGCCACAGGATTACCCTTCCATGTGCCACGTAATACGAAATTCAAAAGCGAACCAAATACTTGATCTTTTGATAGTGCTTCCAATATACGACTTGAACCAATTAGATTACTTAGACCAGTAGAAAATGTAGCTGTAAGTATACCAATGGCTGTAAAGGGCGGCCAAAAGTTGACCGGCATAAGGAAGAGATAGTTATTTTGCATGGTTACGGCTGGTGTGGTAAATGCCATCAGGAATGACAATAAAATGTAAGAAACGAAAGTAAAGGAAACGGCCGATAAGGTGCCTGTTGGTATACTTCTCGATGGGCTCTTCAATTCGCCTGACATATTTGCACCGGCCATGATGCCGGTCACACCAGCGAACAACACACCAAATGTTGTGGCAAAATCAACCATTTTACCATTCGAAGTGTAATCTTCTACATAATGTGGATACAGATTGCCCATTAACGTATTACTGTCTATACCAGTATATGGCAGTTTCACCGTCAGATTATAGATTTTATTTTCTTTAGGGCGATCAATCTGAAAACAAAAAACATTACTACTATAGGTTTGGTAGGTATCTATGTAAAAAATAAAAATCAACTGATAATTTATTTATCAAATTAATGCATGTGTAGATAAATGTATAGTATACTTACTTCCTTTGGGCCTTCAGCTAGAAAACTTATATATGTGGCTAACAAACATATTGACACAATACCCAAAATTAATACCGACGTCTTAGCAAAGAGTGCCGCACCGATCAAACACACAACCAACATTGCTGTATTGATTATTGTGGAAAAAAGAAAACGCCACCATGTGCCATCAGGTAATAAGCCTTTACTGTCATGTGTAAAATATCCGCCGTCGCCAAAGTTTTCCATCATGCCCTCGGTACAACCAGATATAGCCATGGCACAACCAACAACATTGGCAAGAAAGAAAAGCGTACCAATCGAACCGCCAAACTCCAGGCCTAAGGTGCGACTTATCATGACTAAAAGTGAGATAAAACATAGTTTTAATAGTGTAATATATAAAAATAAACAATTACTCACAATAGACGCCACCTCCTTCCACGGCACCGTTAGTGGATATTGCACATACTGAAGCAACGGTAAACAAGAGAATTAAGTATGCGATAACAAATTGCAGTAGCGTCACATAAAGACCAGCATTGCCGACAATAAAGCCTAAAATTAAAAATATCAAAAACCATGGATACTATTTGTTCAACCACCCAAAAAAGCAATATTAAATAGATAATATACTATCTATTTGGTAAATGTAATCACATAGAAGTCTTATAATTAATGACTCAGAAAACTGTATCAGTATATTTTCGGTATACATACATATTTCAAATTTTGTAGGTAAACATATTTGAAAATATTTGAATATTTCCAGTAAAAGTTCGTTATTTAGAAACATATGTATGTACATATACACAGAGCAAAATTTGAATAATTATTTTCCGCAAAGCTAAAATATTTGTCTAATTGCTTGGCTGGCGTAGTTTTAAAATTATTTAGCTTTGTTGGAACATTTAACGGTAACGTAATCTATTATATTGCTTTCGAATTGGCAAAATTAGAATGTATCTACTTTGGAAATATATGAATATAAATGCTGCTGTCATCCGATGTTGTGCAGTTTACAATTGCGTTTTACCAATATACAGCCGTTATACTGATCAACACTATGAAGTAGTTCCTTAAAGCTTTTACCTCTCGAGAGACAAGGTCAAACCGCCCAATATATTCATCATATATTCATTAGCAGGCACAAAACTCGTTAGCTCCTCTATTGCAAAATGTGTTTTTTTTTTTTTACAAAGTCTCCGACTAAAGTATTAATTTAACACAATTGGAATTATTCATATGCATACATCTTATTATACATTTTTGAAGCAGGGTGATATAATGCGTTTCATATTTCTACAAATATATTTATATTTTGCTAATTAGAGCAATAGAATTCAAAATATAAAGCATTATCACCTACCACTTAAAGCGTATTTACATTTATTTATTGTATTTGCTGTTGTATGTAACAAATACATAACTACATGAATAGTATCTACTCACCCACACGTATGAAGACTAAAGCACTGAACATTGACAATGCTACTGGGCTAAATACGCCTGCAAAAGTGCCCAGCGTGCGACCGCTTCGATCGGGGTCCTGCATGCCAAACTCTACATATCCATGAACATCCGTATTCGTAGGAGAATGTATACCTCTCCCGCCAACACTGTTGTTGTTGGCTCCAAACAATGAGCCGAAAGAACGAAACATTGAGGAAGGCCCGCCGCTACGATGTGAAGCAATTGGTGCCGTCTCATCACTTGCAGCGGTCTCACCCCCACCATTTCGCCTCTCAACTGGCTGCTGGTTCATCTCAATTATGCCAGCTACAGGTTCTTCAGCGGCTGAACGCGACAATATGTGTGTTTTGCTCACACGAACGCCCACAAAAAAATAGAGTACCCAATTTTGGTCAGTAACTTACTGAACACAATTTATTTGTAGGTCTATGAAAGTATTTATAACTTCTTACTCGCAGAAGCACACAATCTTTATAAACTACCGTTTACTTGTTACTTAACTTTATAACTAATACACGATTTTCTCCAATTTACATTATTTGCATTCTCTATTGAAGACACTACGAAATAGAAAACAGGAAAATACAAAGTGTAATCTGGTTTATGCAAGTTGAAAAACGAACTGAATCATCAGCTGTCAGCAATAGAGCTGTTGGTGATGTTAAGAATGATGTGTGAAAGAGGAAAAAAAAACAGAGCAAAATAAACGAAAGAATCATAAACAAATAAAAAAGCTGTCATTGGATTGTTTATGATTGTTAAGCCATTTTCCAACACTCTATTTCCCACCGTATATTCATAAAACTCAATTATTTAAATATATTCTTGTTATTATACTAAAATGTATTGTGGTCTTATTATTTGAAAAAATATTAAATATTAATTGTTGTTATTCCAATTTACATATGGCCAAACTTCATAATTATTTAATCTCTTTTTAATTTACCGCTAGTTTTTATCAAATACTACTGATACATGTTACGTATATAAATTGTATATATCTAATTTTCTAAGGTTAGTCCCTTTGGGGAAATTTGGAAATGTAGGTAAGGCATTATGATCGTTATTGGTCGACAACGCAAAACTAGTAACTAAACATTTAGGGCAAAATTATTTACTTAAACACGATGACGTTGTTTACGTCAAGCTTTTCGGAAAATATCACCAGATCCATAGGAGTACCGTCGCTCTTTGGGATTCGCTACCAATATTTCCTCATCAAATTGCGAAATTCGTTGCATTTTGGGTCGCATAATGCTACGCACATCATTCAAAGAAATATCCATATCCTTAAACGCATTCAATATGAAAACAGCTAAAATTACTACGAAGAAGCCGCACACATCGCCTAATATATCTTCAAAACGCATATGTGTGAATTCTTTAAATAGTATTGCAGAGGCTGTTATCACAAGGGACGTGAACATAACATAATACACCGGTGTTACTATGCCTGTGTTGAAAACGTCCAAAGCTTTGTTTAAATAATTCATTTGAATAGCGATGAATGTTACGGTTACACATATCAAGAACCATGGCATCCAAGTCTTAAAATCGTTACCTGTGCCATTTAGAGTATCTCGAATTGCCAGTCCAAGCGCTTTGCACGACATTACAGTTAAAGAACCGATGCCTGAGCAAAGGTATATATACACCGTAACATTTGAATGCCCATATCGGGGAGCAATGAAAAGCGCGACATACACTGTTGAGCCAAGTATAGAAAGCACGTAGAAAATGAAACCTGGATCTTGTAATTTTTCAAATAGCATCTCTAAGTTTTCAACCTCTTTTTCTTTTGGTGAATGTATTACGATGATGGTAGATCCCAAGATACATAGAAGGCAACCAATTTTTCCCAAAAGATTCAGTTTTTCATTTAAAAATTTCGATGCCATTACTGCTGATATAATCACACTTAAAGCACCTAATGGTGTTACAAGCGAAGCAGGAGCGAACGCGTAAGCTGCGAAATTTGCGCCCTCACCGAGTGCCACTATAAATAGAATTTTTAAAGTCGCTTTCACATTTATGAAAATACTTAAATAATTACTTGTTAATAAGCCAGCCCACCAAATCCATTCTTTTAAATATCCATATCCACCAGCAGCTGCCCGCATCTCACCCTGTCTATTTAAACGCATCAGAGCTTTCTTCTTTATTATGAAACTGGAACCGATAAAAAAGCAAGAACTAATTGCTAACCCCACTCCAATGTAGAAGTCAACCTGGGAGTATAACTCAGACAACAACGGCATTTGGCTTGTTGAAGGTATAGAATTACTGCCATATCCGACAGCAGTTCCAGACGGTTCACTACTCATTTTGGTAGGTTTTATATCGTTGAATACTTTTACTTAAGTTTAGTAACAATTTCTTGAAAGAAAAATCTCAATATATCAATTAATAATAAATTTAGTTGAAGAATGCTTGAATAACTAAATTATGATAGGAGGATGACTCAGATTAAGCAAAACATGAAAATCGCGAATTGAGAAGAATGTTATCAATAAAGACAAATGTTACCACACATAAAAAATTATTTAAACCAAAACATTTCAGTTTTCTACAACAATCTTGAAAACGCAATTTTAAGATATTTCCCGTCAAAATTGGTAATTTTTTTTTCAAAAAAGCCGCTCTGCTGAACATTTACCTAAATTTCATTTGATAAATTATGAACTTTTATTAATAATAAATGAAAAGATAATAGCTATTTAAATTAACTTTGTTAATGTACTTGAAACATTTTTTAAATTCTGGCCACACTTCAGCTGTGTTATCTTGTTATCTATGTTATCTTGGTCTTCCGTTTTGTATTTTGTTTCGCGTCACACAATTATTTTTTTGATAGTACCTAAGTGAAAAGTTATGAATTTTCAGACAAGTTGCTGTCGCATTTGCCTTAAAAGTGAGTTGCTAATGTCTATATACCTTTACAGCTCCACTTTTCCATTGAGGCCTATTGAAATAGTAGAAAAATTGAATATATTCAAGGTTGGTGGCTTGCTTGCAACTTAACCGATGAACTGAAATTGATTATATTTAAATAAATGTTTACTCGATTTCTTTTGTAGTATGATGAAACATTGCCCACGCTCCTATGTCAGTCATGTTTGTACCGACTATTGGACGCATATAACTTGCAACAGCTTGCTGAAGCATCTGAACGCCGATTACGCGAATATATAGGGAATGGCACTGCTAGTGGCAGCCTGGGGATATGTGGAATAAGCACAAATACAATGTGAAATTAAATTGATTCACTATCATATCTATCAATTGATAAATTCAATTTAATTTCAACAGAAATCAGGACTCCTCATGCTTTTCTTCAACTGCACCAATTGCCGATGCCTGCAAGGATGTTAGTGGTACCTCTGCTATTTATAGCAATATATGCGACATGTTCGAACGCAGTACTATACAAACGAATAACGAAGTGATTAACGATAAAGTGTGCGCAGTGGCGGGCGAAGACATGCTGAATGATATCGAAATTGACGTCAGCAGTTTGACACGATCTGAAGCCAATGAGGATACATTGAATGAAGTTTTCGCAATCAAACATGCGCAGTTGAGTTTAAATAGAGAAATCAACTTGAAACCCGACTTTACTGGGGACCTGGCTATTTCGGTAATTTTTACCTGCTTCGTATATAAAACTCGAAATGATTTGATTTATATAATTTAGCCACCTATCAAGGCCAATATCGATTTGCCATTGAACGAAAAGCGCTCGGAATGCAGTAAACATTATGAAAACTCCAAACCCGTTGAAATAACCAAATTGCAATCAAGGGAAAAAACTTTCCTTTGCAAGGTATGTGTTCAGTTTTTTAAATATATCAACAATATGTAATTTAGAATAACTACAGTAGTAAAGTTAGTAATATACAAATTTATTCAACCTTTTTACGTGTTTTCATAAAATGTCGTAAAATGTTTTTCATATAAATTTTTATGACAAAGAAAATACTTATGTATATTACCTAAAGCTAAAAAACATTTCACATACTCTTAATGATCATATATTATAAATATTCGATCTAAATATATTACACACAAGAAGTATTAATAACGCCGTAATTTCTTAAGCAACAATCGCAAGAATACAGCACTAAAGTACATAATTGCAATTGCAATGAAGTAACAGCCGTAAATAAAAAATTGCTCACGTGGGCCTAGGCCATAACCCGTATCAGTCACCACTACTAGTGTGAGAATTGTCTGCAACACAAGAGCAGCTAGTGCGTTAATACCAAAAATCAAGCCAAAACTATCGTCAGACAAATTCTCTGCCACAATCGCACTAGCAGTAGTTATAACGAAGAAATATGAAATACCAAAAAGTATATACATAACATATGCAACCCAAACATAATTTGTTAGCGACGAAATGATAGTAAAAGCCCCCATAAATAGCGAACAGACAGTCAATATCCACATATGCCACTTTTTATGATGGCTAGTATTAGCGATTCCAGCCAACATAGCGCTGCCAGCACCCAAAAGAGTTACAATTGCTTCGACCGCGCCATTGTAGAAACTCTCGTGACTTGGATCTATTTCTTTCCACAGAAATTGCACATAAGAAATCACCTGCACTTGTCCACATGTGGCCAAAGCCCACCAAAAACTCCAACGAATCACGGTTCGATTAGTATATGCACTCACTATGTGATTCGCAATTAATTCATACGCATTGAACCATGAAAACTTCGGCGATACAGTAGTTATATCGCTGGAAGTAGATGTGATATCAGCAGCTATGCCATTTTTTGGTAAAACTAAAGTTGTTAAATATTTAAAAATAATAATTGTGTTTAATTGTGCATAAAAGTTGTATTGTAGGTACTCACCTTCTGTTTGTATAGCATGTGTAACCGAATTGTGTTTTGTTCTAACGTCTGTAAGTTCAGTACTTGGGCTTGTGTAGAAATACAAACTTCTATGTACTGGTGGCAAAAGTAAAGCAATTAAAAGCGAAACAATTTGCGAACCGAATGAGAAATAATGTAAGCCTTTGTAGTCCATAATTTCTGCAGAAACCAAAATTTGCGCTAATACTCCAGCTAAAAATTTTCCACATAAAATCGCCGAACGCGTATGGCCGGTAACAATTTGATATCGCTCTTTATCCACTTTGGCATAAATATATGTGTAATACGCAACCTCGGTGGCCATAAAAGTGCCGTAAAATACTTGACCCACTTGTAGCTCCCATATTTTATCTGTCCACAAGAGAATTGCGAAGAGTATTATACCTGAGCACGCGGATACGATAATGATCGGTTTGTATCGAAGTATGTCCGTTATTAGGAAAAAAATAGCTAGTTGTGCCAGCACAGCGTAAGTACCAAATGGATAAATCTCTTTATTAACCTGCTCGGCAGTAATATTATGCCACGGACCGCTCAAGTATTCGGTAACAAACGGTTCTGATGGGCGAAACTCACGAAAAAATCCAAACACCCATAACAACAATGAAATACGTAACCACGCTTGCATCTTAAGGGCGTAGAGTGACCGCCAAATGTTTGTCAGCAACTAAATAAAAATAAATAACATCGAACTATGCTCACACCTGCAGCAGCAATAACACGCTTCGCTCAACTAATGTGCGCAATCATGTCAGATCTCGCGCAGTGCCAAGGCGTAAATTAACCATACTTTATCACAGCTATCAAAGCAATTAAAATCAGAATTTTGCTGATTAAATAAGTGATTACTATACATTCGGCATCGCTCAGCTGATACGCGGCGCAAAGACAATACGAATATAAAGCGGCACAATGCCAGTACTTCTTTCTATAAAAACTAAGCTAAATAAACTGATCCACATACATACATACACATGTAAGTGAGTATAAAAGATTCTACTGATCAGAGTGTCAAATAAAGTGTTCGATCTTTCCGCAAAACTACCGTATAAAATATAATCCAATACTAAAAATGCCTTCGTTAATTGATTATATCATCAGTTAGCAAAAACTTTTACACTTATAAGGAAACAATAAAAATGCACTGCAAAAACTGAAGTACATACATACTTACAGTAATATATACAACTTAAAACACGTTTAAAAAACTTAATTTTTTTTGTTTTGACTTTTAATATTTCGTAGCAATGTCCACGGCAGTTTAAGCAATCTAGCAATTTACATATACACCAGCGTACACACACCGGCGAAAAGCGTTTTCAATGTGAAATTTGTGCAAATTTCTTTACCACATCCAGCAATTTGAAGGCACACAAGGCAACGCATTTAGAGCAACGTGAATACCTTTGCGGCCAATGCAATAGAGACTTTAAAACACTGCGTGAATTGCGCCGCCACGAGCCTGTCCATAAAACCGTAAAGGACAATGTGTGTGGAAAGTGTCAGAAGGCATTCACAAAACGGAGTTATTTAATGGAGCACATTTCGGCAATGCATCGAGACATTCGCCGCCACAAGTGTGCAGATTGTGGCAAATTTTTTGGCAGGCGATCAAATTTGGTTTCCCACATACGGTAATTTGATTTCAGGTAAAAGTTACTGAGATGTTTTATTTGATCGTTTCTTTTAGCATCCACTCAGGTGAAAAGCCTTTCCAATGTGAATTTTGTGAATGGAAATTTAATCAATCATCCACCTTGGCCCGCCATATGAAAAAACACTCTTCTAAAAAGTATAGCAAAAATCACAATTCTTACGCACAAACATAATTATAAATAAGTCCTTTTATATTACATATTTATACATAAATGTACATTGCTTTTATCTGTTTATTTTTTCTAGCAAAAATCTCAACTTTAATATTAAATCTACAGAGTTAAAAAAATCAACATTGGTGGACATCTTACAATCACCCGAAGCGATCGCACAGGACGTGGTTGACATGGATGATATAGGTATTAACGCTCAAAGTAACTTTAACGTACTGAATAATTTATCAAGTTTGAGTGATATACATTGCATGAGCAACGACGGCTTGAATACGGAACTTGAAAGCACATCAATTACCGAACCTACTGACGAAAAGGAGGCAATACAAAATAATGGAGGATATGAATTTACGAAGAACGATATTTTGGATTTCTCGACAAATCATGTAGTTTGTTAGTTACGTGCAGCTGATAGTATCAGCTTTGTTTATTGTACTCATCGTAGAGAGCCAAGAGCTCCCGACTTGTACGTGGTTGAACCGCATTTAAGGCGAACTCAAAATGCGTCCAATTTACACTTTCAGCGTCGAAACTATCCTCCAAACATTTCAAAGCTGCTTCTTGACATACAGCTTGTATCTCGGCGCCGGAATAACCTTCGGTGCGTTGGACAAGCAAATTTATGTCTACATCATCCGCCAGCGGCATAGGTAATAATTTAATGCGGAAGATTTCTTGTCGTGCTTCCGCATTAGGTAGCCCTACGTAGACAATGCGATCGAAGCGACCTGGGCGCAAAAGTGCTTTGTCAATCATATCAGGACGATTGGTCGCTGCTACGATGGTGACATTCTCCAAAGCTTCTACACCATCTATTTCCGTGAGTAATTGCGTAAGTACGCGTTCTTTAACGGATGTACCCGAACTGGAGCCGCCATCTGATCTCTCTCCACCAATAGCATCTATTTCATCAAAGAATACAATAGATGGTGACACCTGACGTGCCTTTCGGAAAACTTCACGTACCGCGCGCTCGGATTCGCCTACCCACATAGAGAAAAGTTCAGGTCCTTTTATGGAAAGAAAATTCAATTGGCTTTCGGTAGCCAGTGCTTTAGCGATCATCGTTTTGGAACAACCCGGTGGACCGAACATCAAAATGCCACGTGGCGGTTTTAAGCCCAAACGTTCAAATTTCTCAGGATGCAGCAACGGCCATTCTATTGCTTGCTTCAGCTTTAATTTCAACTCTGCCTGACCTCCTATATCACTCCAGTGCACATTCGGATTCTCTATAAGAACTTCACGCATCGCTGATGGTTTGATATGTGTCAGTGACGCATGCACATCATTTACGTCCAGAGCACGATTACCATCTTTCATTGCACGCAAGGCTGCCGCATATATAAGATTGGCTATATCAGCGCCAACGAAGCCATGTAATACTTGAGCCACAGCGTTGACGTCATCTAGGGAAAGTGTATGTACAATTTTGCGGAGTAGGCAATGAATAATGGCAGAGCGCTGTTTAGGCGTTGGAACACCAATTTCAATTTCACTATCCAAGCGACCACAGCGACGTGCATTCGGATTGAGTGTTTCGATTTGAGAAGTGGTAGCTAGTAAAAAGGTGCGTTGTGCCTCGTCCTTCCCACCGTTCAGCAAGTCTAGTATGTTTAGAAATGCGGTGCCGACACGTTTGGTCATTTCATTGTTTTCATATTTTGGGCACAAATTATGCACGTCTTCGATAATTATAAGTGTTGGTTGCGGATAGTTTTCGAAGGCTTTATCGAAATTAGCCTTTAAATTTTTCTCGGTTTCACCAAGAAATTTACTGAACAGCTCACTGGTATTAATTCGCATAATATTCCCACTGTCTGATTTGGCAGTGTTATCCCGTATAATTGAACACATAGCTTCGCAAATTAAACTTTTACCACAACCTGTCGGACCATGCAAGAGTAAAGCACGTGAAACTTTTACACCTAAAATAAATACATTAAATTCCTTATCAGAAATTCTTAAATACAGTATATATTATATGAAAATGAACATTTAGCACGATTTATTTCTTACCTGCAGGCACATATTTTAGTCCCAAAGCGATATCCATAACTTCTTCAACCATCTTAATTTGATTGCCCAATCCGCCGATATCCATTTTGTTTATACTACTCATTTGCGAGGAGCTTTCTTTAATTTCTGTAGATTTTGTTCGTTCTATATTAATTTTCGTACCTAAGGTAACTTCGAAGAACTTTGGTGTTGCGTCAGACTTCAAGGTTAAATTTTCAAATTTGTCGGTTAAAGGCAACTCAACATCTTTAGCACAAGAGTCTTCCAAAAAACTTCTCCACGAAACCACTTGCAAAATGAGCTTTTTGTTAAAAAAGTCCATGAAAATACGACTGTCTTTAGTAAATATCAAATTCTTTAATTCGAACTTCAATAGGCGCTCCACTTCCTTCACTTGGGCTTCGACCAGTTCTGTTGCTTCGCCGGACACTTGTGTTAAACATAAAACAACAGACTTTGCAACTGATACGCAACCTTCTGGCAGTGCAGTTATTTTGAGATTTTTTTCTCTGAACTGGGACCAATAATCGTTATAGTCTGTAAAATTAATTAATTAATACAAAATCATTATAACCAAAAACTTCATTTACCTCCTTCGTTGACAAAGATTGTTGTTAGAAACCTTTCAGGTATGGGCCAAACTAATCTCACCAGTCCCACAGAAACTGTTGTGTCTACTGGTCTTATTAGTACTCTTTGGCCTATGTATAAATTAGTAAGTTTCATAGCACCTTCCGAAATAAAAACTAAGTTGTTTACATATTTTATCGACACATCTTGTAATTGTTCAACATTAAAAGACCGCTTTTCTGCTCCAACTGTATATAATTTATTCTGATGAATATACTCCAATGGCTCCATAGAATCCTCTTTAATGGGACAGTACTTCTCGTGTGTCTCGCGATCCTTTGACGTAATATGTACATCGCAAATTTCGCAATGATACCATGTTGCTGCTTTGGCAGTTGTTTTCTTATTTGAACTTTTTGGAGGCATTAAAAAAAACTATTTGGAAGAAATTTGTTTACTAGTAAGCCGGCACGTGCAAGTGCAAGAAGATGTGAAACAGGTGATTTATAGTGTTGCCGTGCTCTATAAACGCGATAAAAAAAACAAGAAGCGTAATTTAAATTACGATTGTTCTTCGATTCCACAGTTAAATAATTATTATGGTATTATAGAGAATAATTGCACATTTTTCTAGTGACTTTCTCATAATTATTAATCAGAAATATAATAGAACTGAAATTCATTTTTAATTTACGCTCACACTTTACAAATACGGTAACTACATCTGTACAAATTTTCATCTTTTATGAATCATTCATTTTATTATTTTCATTTGCCGATCGTAAACAAACAACTGTTGCTAAGCAACAAACAAATACAAAATTTATGAGCAAAACAAAAACATTTTTCATCAATTAGCAATTAACGGTAACAAAACTTAACGATTTCAATGATGGATTGGGCAGAAGAATTAAAATTATCTATAAGAAAGGTAGAGTAAACCAGAATTTCCGTGTTTATAATTATCCTTAAATACTGCTGGTTAATTGTGTATTCTGCATAGAAAACTGCCCGTAAAGGGCGGCGCTCCAAAAGCCGTGATCCAGTTGGTGGAGCTACAACCAGTATCAACGTAACCAATCCCAATCAAAATGAAAAAGAAATAACTATCGATATAACATTGGATTTGCAAAAGAATTCGACCACTGCGACCAGCGACGAAACCGATGGCTCAAAGAAACCACCGCCACGACGCATATCGGGTGGTTGGGCTGATGTTGGCTTACTGAAGAGTTCAAAGTAAATAACAGTACAAATCGGGACGAATAAAAACTTTTATTTATCTTATCTCTTATACAATCATATTTTAGATCCAAGAAGGGAGCCTCATTTGATGAGTGAGTTTGAAAAGAATTAGCACGCACACACATTTACATATTTAAGTTATAAAATGATTTAATTAATATTTTCATACGTTCGTTTTAAGTGAACGCTTCCGAAGCGTGTCTCTCGCAAAGTCTCCTGTCGGCTCACCGCCGCGTGATGAAATACCGACTATTCCGGATATGGACGATTTAAAAGATGAAATTTTACTTAATGAAATTGTTGAACCACCTATGTACGCACAGAAGAAAAAAGTATAAAAAATTATAAATTGACAAGGTTCCGTTACAGTTCTAACCCCCAACGTTTAAACACTTTGAGCGAAATCAATTCGGATTTATTGAATCAGAGCGCATTTGCTTCATTGGAAAATGTTGATCTTACGATTTTGACACGCTGTTTGAAATTACCCGAAACCTTAGATGAACCGGACGAAGTATGGGAATGGGATAAATTATTTACAGAAGTAATTGCAGAGATACATTCCGATCAACAAAGTTTCGCAAGTGGACATAAAAAAGAAATTGGCCCAGATGAAATTCCACCGCCAATGTACTCTTAATTTGAATTGGTATAAAATTTGATATTTTTTATAATTTTAAAAATTAAAATTTTAATTATTAAGCTATTGTGGTGAAAATTGTTTGACATATCACTGAATCAGAATGTAGTAACATATTTATTATATTATTTCATATTAAATATTAGTTTTCATGCAAGTACATCTTGTGGTATTACTGCGTCGGGTAAGACATTATTTACCTCTATGGCTTCAGCTTCACCGGCAGGTTTGGCTGTTGTCGTCGATGACTCTTTTGTAGTTTCTTCATTTAACAATGTATTTTTTTGAAGTAGTTGTTGTAAATTGTCTTCCTGCACTAAGCCGTATTCATCAGCTAACTGCATCAGATCACAGATAATTGGCGACTCTACTACAAGTATGTACTGGCATGTCTTTGGTTCCAACAAATATATGGAAACCGAACTTGAACTACTACTGATCGGAGTACACATTAATTTAACATCTACCTCACGCGGAGCACCCGTACGATCGCAATGTGTTCCGCGATCATAGTGATGCCAAAGAGCTGTGGAATAACCACCACGTTTTGGCATTTTGTCCAAATTTTTTGCCAACCATTGACGATGTGAACTTTCGGAAAAGTACCCCAAAAATAGTTCCGACTCCAATTTTTTATCCTTGTGAAATTGACGTACATGACGACCATAGCAAAATTCATATTTCCACCAACCAGTACCCTAAAAACATATTTTTATGCATATTATATAAAACATAAGTATGTATAAGTGAAGATTTTTGTATTCACCCCAGTCAAACAATTACTACCCGATATGAATTCTTTTATAGGTGTTAAGTCCGTAATTGGTGCTTTTGGTAGATTTGGCAAAACTTCATTCTCGGCTGCGGGCGGCGTAGGTACATCAACACCAGCACCAATCATTAACTCATGAACAAGCTTATCAACATCCGGTCCGACTTTATTGAAGAAAGATAAACGTTCAGCTGCTGCGGCTGAACGTGCCAAAGCCATTGCAGCAGCGCTCGCATCATTCGATATGCGTAGTTCGTCATCTGCTGATTGCATTTCACTAAGCTCTTGGCGTAACATACTTAGTGGTTTATGTACATCGGTAAGCCCATTAAAACATTTAATTGAAACCTCTTTCAATTCTTCGGGATGGAAAGCAGGATTCATACAAAGCATATATGTAAGAATAATTGCTTCATAATTGCATGAAGATGTTTCTTTAAATGAATATATCTCGTTCTTGCCGTGAGGATAGCAAACGTAGCGAACACGTGTCGTACGTGGTGAATCAATAATATCACACATAGTTCCATCGGACATTTCCAGTTCAAAGTATGGATATCTGGTATTTTCAATTTTGGTGGTTTTATATTTAATGCCTGCCTTTCGATCAGTTTCCCATACTTTTGTAAGTTCTTCAGTCTTCTCCGGCGACCATTTGCCTAAATAATATTCCTGTAATTTTACGCTTTTTCCTGTAAAAAAAAAACAATCATATGTTTGGGTTTATAATATTGATTCACCAACCTTCTCTTTCTTCGTGCGATTGTCGCACATGTTGCCCATGGCAAATTTCATAAGACCAATAAGCTTCAATTCTGTATGAACAACTTTGGGTTGAGAACAAAGGTTGCAGTAATGTTAATGGTGCTAAAATGAACATCTATTCCTTTACAATTTGCATTTTTTCATTTTCAAACTGTGTTTACTTACACAGTTCAGGTTCCTCAGAAGTTTGCTCCTCTTTGCTGTCCTGTACAACTGGGATAACACAGTCATACTTTTCGTGATCATGAGTGTAAAAGGTTTGCAGTTGATTCTTTAAATCCTATGATAGCAGTGATATAAGTACTCGATATCAAACAAAGTTATTTACACTTACTGGGTCTTTTTCTAAATCCGGTACATCAAAGTCAATTTTATACAGGACAGAATCATCGAAATCCTTTGCCTCGTGGCTCATTAAACAGCTTGCACAAAGTACAATTAGTAGAATACATTTAGGGACTATATATTGAAAAAGTATCATCTTAAATCAAATATTTATTAATTTGTCATGTAATTACACTAATATTTCCGAAAAACTGAGTGATGTGTCTTTTCATTGCAATCTCAGCTGTGAATAACAGTTGCACTTGTCATATTCGATATAAAGCAAATGTAATATCGATAGATAACACGTTATAAGTTTGCGCAAACCTACATATATATTAGAAATGTTAACAATACCACCAACTCCCACTTAAATTGACAAAATATAACAAATATTCTTTAACTTAAACCTCGAGTCTGACTAAATTATGGCTAATCACTCTTCTATTTGATTCCAACTTAAATATTTGAAAGTTTTACACTCGTTGGCAACATCTTTTAAAATTCACCACGAAGCAAAATGGAATGCAAAATTGAAGCAATCCGCCTGCATCTGCAGAGAACGTTTATTTCTACGTTCTCTGGCAGCTGCAGCAACGAACAAAACGAATGCATACGAACGAATTTAACGAAAGAAAACGAATGAAAAGTGGAGAAGAATATCCGAGCGTCATATTTTAAGCGTTGCCATTTAAAAGTAGAAACATATCAAATTTGTTAATTTCACATATATATTTGAATTCAAATCAATTTAAATTGCTTCGTGTGTGATTCGTCGTTATTAATAATAATTTGTGAATTGCAGCTGGCAACTGTGTCATTAATAACTTGCAAACGCAATTACTTTTTCTCATCGGTCAATATATGACTAAACAACTGGCAGCACTGGTTATAGCGAAGTGGCGAACGAACGCTGTCTACAATTTTATTAATAAAAATGTTGTAAAATCAGAGGAATATATAACTTTTAGACTAAAAAAGAAAGTGCTGTTAAGCTAGTGAACTTGAGTGAAAGATATAGTTTAAGTTGCATTAATATTGATAACCGAGTGAAGAAGCACATCGGAAAGCATAGCATAGCGTTTGGGTTTGGCTTTGGCTTTTTAATAGTCGTTAGCTTTCACGAATTGTGTATGAGTTGATGCGCTTTTGTGAGAATAATATTCTGAATTGAATTCGTTGAATAATTTTGAATGCTTTGTGGTATTGTAGAAACGCGAGTTGGCGAACATTGCTATATAATGGCCGCTTGAAAATCGAGATGAAAAGTGTTAACGTTGGAACCTTCTAAATGTATATAGGAAGGTGTACCAGTAAAAATATAGCGAAAGTGATGACAAAGTATAAAACAGAGAGAAACGAGGGAAGAGTAAATTGAAACAGTTAAACAAAACGAAATTCAATAACTATAGACAACAAAAAGTTAAAAGCTACAGACCAAGTGAAATAATACCATTCCAGCTAATTTTATTTACACGTTGACGACTTCAGCCACAGTGGAGGGTCTCCGATGTTTTTATTGCTGTCGCTTTTGGGAAAATGTCTCATTTGCCATTGGATGCACGCGCCATTTTGGACTATTTAAATGAATTGGGTTACAGAAACATATCTGCCGAACAGCTCAAGGAATTCATGAAAGGTAAACAATACTGATAAGTCACTTACATATACTCGAATGTATATATATGCTTGCGAAATATGTGACCACATTACTAGCATATAATCTAATGTACGTAAACATATATATACATATACACAATTAAAATTTAACCTATATATCACAGTATATTATCGCCTTTAAAATATTTACAATGTTCGTTTTTATAATGTACGTCGCGTTTAATAAAAATTTCAAACGTGTTATTGGCAAATTCCTACTACATATTGATTTGTTATTGTTCGGCGCTGTACCTACATACTGTCTGTTTCAACCATTTTTTGCATTGAAACCCACATACTATTACAATAATATAGGGTCAAATTAAATTGTTAAGTTTATATCATACTTTGCAAGATTAAATAAGAATTTACGCTGATGTAATTGCGAGTTAAAAGGCGTATATCATTCGACAACGAAACAAGTATTCGCCATAAGAAATTGTGCATAACAGTCAGCGAATAGAAAATACAGCAAATAAGTACATCAAAAACATAAAACAAACATGAATACTATGCGCCATACGCTGAGGCACCAGACCAGACGTCGAACGCAGTAGTACTGTTTGCCGGGAGTGCTGGTAAAGGCATAAGCGGCGGCAAAAGCAAATACAACAAAATGTAGCAGCGATTATTTGTAGTATAGTGTTAGTTATGTGTTATGGGTCCGATCTTTGTGTTGGAAAGGCAATGGCGGCGACCAAAGCAGACAAAGTGTTTTGATACTATAACAACCTCCACCAAAGTAGAATTTACTCGTTGCTTATTAGATTAAATCGCCGGTATTTTTAGTTAAAATAGCATATTGAATTTATTTATTATATATTTAATATTTCAAATAATAATCGGAGAGGCCCTAACAATTAATTTTGTGTTGCTTTTTGTTCCGCTTCACAATTGGATTTGACAATGCTGTGTTTTCCAGTTTGTTTAATTTATCGTTTTGTTTATAAATATGTGTGTTGTTATCGTTTTGCAGTGGTTATTTCTAATTGTTAATTTTATAATATATATACAATAATTTGTTATTCTTTTTTATTTATATAGTTATTAAAAGTTAAAGTTTATTCTAAAATAAAAGTCTTAGAAGTTATCGGTATTTTGTGTGGATTGGTTAACAAAACAGAACAAAAGAAAAGAGACCAGATTGAGACGAGCGACAGCTGCAAGAATACATTCTTTGAATCACATGTAATTTATACCAGAATCAAAATAGAAAACAAAAAGGTCGGCTCTGGCAACGGCTGTTACTGTGCGCGCCACAGTTTTACCTGTGTACAATGGAATATTGTGGTAGCGATTTTGTCAACTCTCCTGACGCAATGTTTTAAAGCACTGTCTTGCCACTCTCAGATAGTTTTAGAAACAAAAATGTGTATATGCATTGTATAATCTTTATTTTAAAATTCGATTTTATTCCAAAATCGAAAATGTAATTGCTGTCTGTACAGGTTTTTTCAAGCATATTTTATTACAAGGCATTGATTGTATATAAGCAACAATTTCACAGCCTAACTTTCCTTTAAATTAGTATTTACCTAAAAAAGTTGAGTTTAAAACTATTACATCGCCGAATGTAATTGTATGTATGGCTTCGTGCGTCGAGTACTTCCATAATCATTTATTAAATATTTGTAAAATTGTCTCATACCCGCGCTTAAAGCTTCACTGGCCACATTAAAGGATATTCGGGTGTGTTATTTAGCTTTTTGTATATCCATGCATATTGATGTTATGCTCGTGTAATCATACATGTGGATATACACTCATAAGTACATACATAATATATAGAATACATTCTTTTATATAATATATATATATACATATATTATATATATGCATACAAATGTTTAACACTTTTTCAAATTAACTATTCACTATTGGTTTAAGGGCTGTCTCTTATACACATCTAGATGTGTATAAGAGACAGATATTATATATATGCATACAAATGTTTAACACTTTTTCAAATTAACTATTCACTATTGGTTTAAGGGATACACACTTTACTTAAATTTTTTTTAGATAAAATTTAGTTAATGTCTTCTTCAATAAGCACTCAGTGGTCATTTTTGCATTTTATCGCTTACTCATAAGAATGGTATAAAAACTAACTATTAAAAATATATTCTTATTATGTTAATTTCTTTTGTGATAAAGATTTATTTATATGAAATGAAAACAATTTTGTTTATCTATTTTATTCTTCTACTTCTTGGTGTGTGCGCCAATCATTCAATTGCTTAACCTGTACCGCTGCAACAACGATAACAAATTCACTGAACAACAACAAAAATATATGCTAACAATTCTGTATGAACGACAACAGTTAATCTGCACCTAAAGGTATGCAATCACAATCGGAAATTTACAAAAGCAAATTCAAAGAAAAAATTAGCAACAGCCAAGTTCAGCAAGAGCAGCGACAGCAGCAATCGCAAGGACGAGAACAGTATCGTCAGCAACAACAGCAGCAGCCACTACAATCGACCACTAGTGTATCTACAAAATCAACAGCAGCAGAAGGTTCTGAAGCAGTGGTTGCCGGTGCCGGCAAAAATCAGCCTTTGCCGCAACGTCGCGCTACTGTCAAAGTAATTAAATGTAAAAAACCTTTGTGCCATTTCAAGTTCTATCTGGACATTTGCGACCACCAGCTAACTAAACGCATTGAAGAACAAATTCGTACACTTGGAGGCTCGCTCGAATTCTTTCTTACATCAAGTGTAACACATTTCATTACTGACAAAGCGATATTGCCTCCAGTTGGTGGTAAAAACAACAGCAATAATAACAATAATAATTCGTTAAGCAGTCGTCCCGATACTCCTCAAACACCAGGTACACCAACAACACCGCAAGCTCCATATAATTTCGAGACACACGATGGTAAAAGTAATACTTGTGGCGGTAATAGTACTCCAACTGGATCTGCCAGAAAAGCCAATACCCGTCAAACACGCGCCAATGCGATTCTAAATAGAGTACGTCGCACTAGTACAACCACCAACACTATCAATGTTAATGCTGTCAGTGTCGGTGTTAACGAACCGCAAAATTCACCAACGCCCTTAAACGTTAAGGACGTTGTTAAGCAATCGTCAATTGTTGCAACACAGAGCCCTTACATTGTTTGGCAAACTGAATACGCTCTCCACTTCTTTAAGAAGGTACAGCACGAACTGAAGGATTATTTGGGTGTCAATTCTCGACACGATCAGCACAAACTTTTGAGTAAAGGTCGTAACACTGCCGACCCCATAGATCTCAAAGGAGGTGGATTTATAAAAATCGAAGCGATCAAACACAATTATAGACCTTATTATCAACTATTTCGAAAATCATCAGGTACTGAGTGGCCCAAAATCGAACTTTCACGTGAGGACGGCGCTTTTCGGCTATCACCGAAAAAGAAAATCACACCAAACATAGACGTGCAAGAAAAAGAAAAAGAAAAAGGTAAAGCTAACGAAGAACGAAACATGACGCGCAAATCTCGTTCAAGATCTTCACAGCACCAAAGACCATTACATGCGGCCGTACAATCTTTGAAAAAAGGGGCTGGCGGAGGCGTTGCAGAGTCTGCTAACACAGTGAAGAGTAGTCCGCGAAATTCGCAAGCTGGTGGCGTGGCTGGCGCTATTGCGACTGGCTGTAGACAAGTGAAAGAATCCAGTGACAAGCAATGTGGTGTCTGTGAGATTTGTAAAATCGAATATGATACGTTAACCATACATTTGAAGACTAAAGATCACGAATACTTTGCCAAGAACTCGCAGAATTTTATAGCATTGGACTCGCTAATACACACATCAGCGGACGTAAATAAATTTTTAAACGAGGATAAAAAAGTTATTTTGGAAGAAATGGAAGTGGAAAACATTGAGGTAATAGGCGATGTAAATGCACCTGATCCATTAGAAGGATCGGAGCCTTTGATGATAATGCCATTGTTGGACGTTACAGATAATACGCGAGGTGGTCTTCACCAAACACCATCACCAACATTACGCGAGAAATCGAAGCGCAGTACTAAAGGTAAACATTATTCAGAGAAATTTCAAAATATACGCCCTACAAAATCGCCTAAGGCTACATCAACAGCTGTTAAGTCACAAACTAGCCCACTAAAACAATCAACGGCACTCAGTCTTGCCACATCCAGCATGCTGGAGCTTCAAAGGATTGAAACGGGCGCAGCTGCCAACGTTAGTGCCACAAAACCCGTCTCCCTTCAATGCGTTTCGCCTGCAGCGAATACAACGCGACGAAAACAAACATCGGTGGCGGCGATTTCTCCACCTATACGCGCAATGTTGCCTCCCTCTTCGTTATACAAAGTAGTCGGCACACCGGAAACAGTAGGTACAGCCATACGCAAAACACGGGGCGACCTGCTCTCTGGCGGAGATCAAGGAGTAACAGCATCACCTTCACTAATCGTCAAATTTCAAAAAATCCGTGCTGCTGAATTAAACCGGCTAAACGGTGAAGCGGAGAGTTTTATGTTTCCTAAGCAGCGCACATCGAGTGAACTGCCCACCGATATCGATCGACAAACTACTTCCGATAATGCGCCTGCTAGCTTTTCGTCAACAAGTCTAGATAGCACTAGCGACAGGCCAATGGAAATAGAGTTAGCCATAACAACAGATAATACCGATAAGTCTGCAGTAGGAAGTAAAGAGGTGGGAAAACGCGCAATCGCCAATGCAAAGCGTCGTAAAAGCCAAGCATCGACGTCTACTAAGCAGCGCTTTCCAACCGCCCCCATCCAGCCAGAATTACAACTGAAGAATAAGCTTGGATTACGTAAGTCTGTGCCTACAAAGTCGGCAGTGATGTCGACAGTAGGCAATAATGTCACTGAAACAGCAAAATCTGCCATATCAGCGGCAGCTGCTAAAGCGAATGCCACAGCAGCTGCTCTAGCGGCAATTACACTGCCAGAAGCAACACGTAAAAGCAGCCGTACCGCCACCGCTATAGTAACGGCAGCAACTACTAGTAGCCGCTTACTACGTGCCGCCGTGGAAGCGGCAAAGCATAACTACCGACAAATGGCGGCAGCCAACGAGTTGGTCGAAAACGGACGCAAAAAGTCGAATGCCAGTGAAACGACGACAAAGTCCTTGGTAGAAGCAACGGCGATGAAGACTAGTCAAAATGTGTCAGTTGTGAATATGGAGGATCGGATGGGGGGTGATGAAAATGTTAAGAAGGAAGATGAAAATGAAAGTGAGGCCGATAACATTAGTAGCTGTACGGATGAAGAAGATGAAGAAGAAAATCACACAGATATTTGCAAAGGATTTGGAGGTGGATATTTTGATGAAGATTTAGATGATGATGATGACGACGATATTGATAATGATGATGAAAACGATGAAGACTATGTACATTATAAGAGCAGGAGGCACAAATCCATTTCTTTTGACAATTCGTCTGACATTTGGCAGAGTGCGTGTAGTGGTCCTACATCAAGAAGGCAACGGGCAATGAAGAGAGAAGAGCAGAAATATAAAAGCGATGTTTCAATAGTTGAAACGAAAGATTGCGCCATTACGAAAAATACACGTGAAGTCGGGAGAGGGGGAAAGCGGAAAAAATGTAGTGAGGAGCCATTTAAGACCAAAGCACAGAGTACAACCGCATCTGGCAAAAGTAATAAAAAATCAGCTGATGAGACGGTATTACCAACGCCATCACCATCGAAAAAAAAGTCCATTGAATCGTGTTTCGATTATAAGACCAGCGCACGCCTAAATCAAATGCGATACTCCTTTGAGCGCATACCTACAACTGATCTCTGGTACCGAGTTTTCTCACGTCAAGATAATTGTGCCGAACGCTTTTTCGAATATTATGGTTCAACGAACTATCGTAAGCTACCTTATGAACTTGGCCCAATACCATTCGCACGCACGTTGGACTCTGCCATATGCTGTAAACTCTGCGAAAGTCAGAAAAACGTACAATTACCGACAAATGAAGAGAGTAAAATATTCTCAAATGCGGGCAATATGTGCAAAGTAAAATCGGAACCATTGGAAGATTCGGAAGCGGGTGCCACCAAATCAAGAGACTCGAGCAGTTGCAATTCAAATGACATCGCCAATACAAACAACATATGTCACATTGCCAATGCCAATAATGTACCACCCGAGTCTTCTACAACACAGTACAAGCATAAGCATAAAAAATTACAAATTCTACAACGTTATCGCCAGGAGCAACAGGAACTACAGAAACGACAATCCCTACAGGTTTCTGCACTTCAGGAGAATATCTCCAACGAATCGCAATGTGATACCAAAGCTACTAGTATATCAGGTCCAGAGCGAGCGCGCGATCGACAACGAGCTGGCTCCACACACAGCACAACGAGTAGTACGAGTTGTGCCAGCAGTACCGCCACTACCAAAACCAGCAAAAATAGATACCTCAATAAGCATCTGAATAAAGCTGCGACCGCCTTTCTGAACCTAGAATTGCCGCCTCGAAAATCTCCGCGCGAGCACGCTTCAACGCTTGCATTAGTGAGTTGCATTATAAAGCAACGGCAAGATTCACAGAGTAAACCGAATTCAGAGACCGACGAGCCGTCCACTACTCCCACACCAGTTTCAGTTACAAAAGCAGCAAGCGTTACCACACCTGGATCAGAGCTCGCTTTAGCTATAGCTTCAACAATAAAAACTAAAGCGCAGAACGTAACGACTGCATCAGTATACACAGATTCAGTATGTAATGCGAAACCATCACCAACTGTTAGCGATTTACCAGTTTTACGTTCTCCACGCCATACACGCTCTGCTGCGGCTACTCCCGTCGAAGAGTTGCGTTTCACCACTGAAATATCGGAAAATGTAAAACGCATGCGACGTGGTCAAAATAAATACGATCACTCGCCTCCAATAGCGCTTAATCAATCACGGAAAAGCACTCGTGGCGGCCGACAGATAGTAAAGTCACCACTGAGTAGACCATCACGGGCTTATAATGGTGTACAAAAATTCCTGCACTCCACTGATCGCACCACTAATCGAATGAGTCAAACACCCAGTTCGATGGTCGCAGTAGCAGCAACGACAGGCAAACGACGCAGACGTGGTTTTGCGGCCAGGCGACATAATTGCTACAGTGGTCTACTTGGACAGGGTTCTGCTCTGCCATCCATTCGTAAGACAGGTTCCAAAAAGGGTGTATTAGAATTCGAGGTGGATTCGGCTGCATTAAAAGCCCTCGAAAGTGCGACGAAACATACAAATATTCATAAACTAGAGTGGCAGATTGATAAATACCTGCAATTCCATGGCAGCGAATACGATTTAGAGGAAGACTTAGCGTTGGACAACTGTGAAGGTGGAGAAGCGATGTCGCTTGCAACGATAAGCACATCCTCGAGAAAGAATAGCGCAACTCCTGCATCGGCTACTGCATCTACGAGTAAGACACTTGGTGGAATCAGCTCAACTAATACGAATGTCAAACGTAATACAAACGCAACGATATCTTCCGCTACCTTGGCGTCAAATACCCCGCCACCCACCGATTGCTTTTCTAGTGACTTCGATCTGTATGACTTGTTTACGAATGCAATGGGTGGCAGTCGGTCAGATGAGGAACAAATGATAAATGTTGGCGGCAAACGTAGAAGCGCGGGCCTTAGTTTATACAACTCGCTATCAATGCAGAACTATTTTCGCAAACGGAAAAGTCTCAAATCCAACCGTACCGGGTGGCCAAAAGTACAAAAAAAGAAGACTTCCGCGCGCCAACAACAAAAGTTAGCACAAAAAATACGTTTCCTGCGAGATATAGGTGAGTTTGCTGGAAATGGGATTAAAGAAGAAGTGGGTTTGACAGAGGGTAAGGGCAGCGATGAAGCTGAAGAAAACGATATGGCTCTTATGTGTAAAGGTATACAACGGCGGCGGCGAAACGGTGTTATTACGCCACCACAAAGTGAGGGCGAAGTCAACCAAAAAACGCAAAATGATGTCGCAGAAGATGAAGAAGAAGCAGGAGCGGACGATGATACGGAACTAGAGGCTGGCGAGAGTATACCAGAGGAGGAGGAGGGGGAGGAGGAAGAAGAAGATGATGGAGATGAGTTGGAAGACGATGGCGAAACTATGATGGATTCAATCGATGAGGAAGGAGTACAAACCGAGCCCGACGCTGATGATGCGGCCGAAGCTGACGAAGAAGACATAGAAGATGCTGAACTGTATACAGAAGCAGTCGGAACAGCAGGCGAAGATGAAGATGATAGTAATTTCGTGTCCTTGCGTAAACGCATACAACGGCATACGAATGCTAGTCCGCTCGAAGATAAACTCGTGCCCATAAACTCGTTAACAACAATTAGTTGTATCACCAATAATAACAGCGGTGCCACTTCTACGCCCTCGACGCAAATGCTACTTGGAAGTGCGAGGCGTACACCTCAGTTGCTCAACGGCAGCCTGGGCAGCTGTATTAGTCCCAGCGAAAAAGCCGGCGATAATTCAGACATCTTTACAGTATCTTCAGATGGACTAGATACCGATTTGGATATGAGCAACTCGCAACATAAATGTGACGATGAACATCTGCATCATCATAATCATCATCATACGCATCATCAGGATCAATGTGTTGGTCATCAGACGCCAAAGCGTAAATTCGATTTGTCGAAATATGCGCCAAATAATACTACAGCAAGTAGCTGCGCCGCAGAAGCTGCAACTGCTGCGGTAAAATCCTTGGCAATATCACAGTTTCTTAAAAAAGAGGTACGGGTGACATGTAGACGCTTGCGGGCACCATTCCGTCGCTATCGATATCGCAGATAGGATAATAAAAGTTCAACTAATGTGGCTGAAACTATAGTCGCTCATAACACGTAACTGCACTGGCGAGCAGCAGGCAGCAATCGTGGAGCAACAACTTCGAACACCCTAAACAACAACATGCAACAGTGTACATACACATTACATTACAAGCAACTTTCACCCATGAAAATATTATAAGAAAATGAAAGAATTCAATCACACAACTAGTTGTATTTTGTACTTGTAAATTGTTACGCAATCAATGTTTTAAGACGAAACCCAAAAATAAAATAAAAACAAAAAAAAAAAAAACAACACTGCAAAAACTGTAAGCAGTAGAGTATATAAAGAAAATATATGTAATTTAATAATTGTCGGACTTAAAGTACATTATGTATACCATACACACACACAAGCATATAATTTTTGTAATTAAAATAAAATTAAAAGAACGAAAATTAATACTAAGTACCACAAACATTCGCTGCCCCATGCACTAGCCTCAATTTCCACTATGTACAGTATGGTGTAGTAGAGTTAGTGTTCATTTTGTGAATAATGTTATCCTAATAGAATTTTGTAAAACCTCAGCTAATACAGTATATCAATGTTTAATTTTTCGTAAAGAAATGCTCGCGAAAATAAAGAATTTTGTTGATTTTTTTTTAATTCTTTTTTAATTTTTTTTTCTACACAATAAAATGTAATGTAAAGTTTAGCGTTTAAGTAGCATATTGTAATCGTATACGTTTAAACAAAATTGAAAGTAAAATGCAAAATGCATTTGTATGTATGTATGTGTTGCAGCGAATTCACGCGAAACTAAAATAATTTTCATATGTTCTGTAAAACAACTACCAAGATATGAACTTAATTATAATACAAAAACAAATAAAAAGATCATTATAAAAAAATTGATGCGATTTGCAATTTAAAAAATTGTCTATTTTTTACTTTAAAATTATAATCGTGTATTAAAATTACCAAAAAAAAGGCTTAGGTATTCCATACAAAAACTGGATTTTGATCGAAGTTTGACCGCTATATACTATAGTGTACCGATTTCAGCAATCTTCTTCAAAGATAATAGTTCCACTGTCTGTGATACGAGTTCCACATAATCAATATTACATATGTACATAAAAAAGTAGTAACAACAAAAATTCAAAATTCTCTTTAGAAAGTAGTCAAAATTAAACGTCTATGAATAATTATAACAATGTTCACAATCCTTAGATCTTCGCAAACTCATTAAATACGAGGAGACACTAGGCATCAATGCTCATCAAGACAATTACTTTGAGAGGCTCTTTAAGCGTACAACCGCCAGTTTTCGCGCTAAAGTTGACAAGGACAAGGAGAATACACATTGTGAACGCGCTGTCGATGTGAAGTCAAAACGTGATCATGACGCTCATACCTTACGATCGTTGAATAAAAAAGAGCATCAACAACAATTGGAATCAAGAGCGGCAATGGCCAAGAAAGGTAATCGATTCCATTCTACGCTCACCAATTCAACTTCACAGTATGGGACGACTTTCGGAGGCAGTAGTATGGGTGACAAACTGAATGCCAAACAAAAGTATACACAACAGCAGAAACAAGTACAGTCAGCGGAACCACGCAAAAAGGTTTCAGAAGCACGTGCTCGACCGCACACAACCACTATCGGTGCGGGAACTTTATCACGCGAGCAAGCATGGCAAAGTAATAAACGTGTACCGTTTAGTGAATGCAATGAATTGAGAGGTCCTCAATCCGAAGACACAGAACAGACCTCAACACGTCCATCAGCGAAAAGGGAGCCGAGTCTAAAGCGTGGCCACACAGCAACAAACACAATTGGTATCAAGGAAGACAAGAATAAATCAAATGGAGCAGCGTCAAATCCAAGGGTTGAATCTCGAGATACTAATCGTGGACGTACTCGTGTTAGATATCCATCTCACGAACGTAGCGCTTCAAGGCGTAGTCCGAGTGGAGGCAGTTACACCACAGCCAGATCTTTGGGTGTTATGAGTAAGTAATATGGTTACGTGTTATATATATTTTGGCTAGACAAGTCGCAGATATAATAAAAAAAAACTAATTAAAATAGTTACAAACAATTATATTCTCTTTTTCTTTTTTAGTACCACGACAATGCACAGCGACACGCCGCCGCCGACCACTGAGTAAAGATCCGGTCGCCTTATATCACTACTATCAGAGTGAATGGAATTACTTTCGCGAGCAAATACCAGGCGAGAGTTCACATTCGGAGCTGCGTTGGATGATACGTGAACGCCTATTGGACCCCAACTAAAAATATATATGTATATAAACATATCAAAAAAACAAGGACGGAGTTATGAAGAAGACAACCAATCGGAATTTTACTTCCATCTTTTTAAGTATATAAAATAAACTGACCTCTTGACATTGGATAAAATTTAATTTGAATTCAAATAATTTAATACTTCAATTATTTTATGTATTTGAAATTAAAATAAAATCAATTTAAATAAAAGAAATTAGAAAAACCTTTTTTATAATTCCTTTTTTTTAACTATGTAATTTGAAAGGTGTTATTTTTTTTATAATTATACGATGTATATTATTATTAAAGCAAAAGGGTCGGTACTGCGTAACAAGATTGGAGTTGAATTTATACACGATTACGGACGGTCCACTTGAGATCTTCCCCAAACAGTCTCCGCTAAAGAAACATTAATATAATATTACGAATAATTGAGAGGACTTAACTGTAGTTCAAATCATTTAAAATAAATTTAAAAAAAAATGTGATTCTTATAAATTTGACTTGACAAAACGCAAATGTCAATGTTACTAAATAATAACAAAAAAAAGCAAGGATATAAAATACATATCTATATTTATTTTATGTAAAATTTGTCTTTCGCAGCTTATCGTTTCGATAAAACATTCTGTCAAAATTCCATTAGTTACTATTATATTTCGGATAATTATTTTTGTAAGATTTTTTCGCAAATATACAAATGAGTTCGTGAAAAACAATAATAGGTGGTACAAAATAACTCGATATTATTAAAGCCTGTGAATACAGATATGTCAGCATTTAAAAAAATGTTCAATGTTTTACGGTCAAGTAAAGGAGAGGGTAGCTTAATGGATATGCGAACAATGAGTGATAAAAGTTTACATTCCACGTACTTGGGTAACACAAGACCGAGCGTATACACATTTCATAATGATTTCGGCGCGTCATGTAGATCCTCGCCTTTGGCAACAACATCCGAAGCAACGCACATTAACTACGCTAATGAGTTAACCAATTGGCGACAAATGGATCCCAATCAATCGGTAATGCCTTTTTCCGGTAATTCTATGTTGCCAGGATATTATGGTCAATATAGTTATTCGGAACCATATTCTACGAATATGCGTAAGCTTTTTAAAGAAGTTTGACATTTCTATTTCAAATATTGTTTTAATATTTAGCATACCAAAATTCAAATTTTGGTTACCCCATAATGAATGAAAATCAAATGATGGTACCGGAGAATCCACTATATGCGGAAAATAGATTGATGGGTGCCGATAGTCCTCTGCCGACAATGCACAATATGACAACTTTGGCTGAACCTAGAAATCAATTTGTCAACTCACGCTCCGATGCGTTTAGATCCAGTATGGCAGCTATTCCACTAGATAAGTTGAAAAGAATGCGCGCAGCGAAAGGTAAGTTAATTATTTCAAGCATTTTCACAAATTTATTCTATAGATGAATGATGCTTCTATTGCATTTAATATTTTAGATTTATACAACGTTTTGAATTACTTGGATAGCGATGAGACATTCTTAAAGAAAACGAGCAAATCTAATAAATCCAAAAAAAGTAGCAAACTATTTTAAACTTGATCTAATTTGAATTTGCCTTGTTTCTTTGCCGCATCAGTTCGATGAAGTTGATACAACAAGCGCTCCTCGATATGTTTCACCGCATTTACAGTTAGCACTAAAGTGTCGTGTTTAAGCATAGAGTATGTATTGAGTCCATATGAAGGCATTAAGTTCACATAACTCAGCGCATCGGTGGCATAAGAAATATTCTCTGGAAAAATATCATCTCTGCATGGAAAAAGAAAATATATTATTTCATAACTTTTTTAAATAAAATAAAATACCTGTCCACAATTAACACAGATGGTCCCCAATTGCGTTCTTTTATCAATTTTTTAATGAACTGTGGATCACTTGTGGGCATGTCAACGGTATCAATGATATGTAGATCGTCTTGTGCAAGCTTTACACTAAGCGTTGAAGTCAAACCCATCACTCGCTTGTAAAACGGTAGCATATAGAAATGTGTGGTAGGTGAACGTGGTCCGTGCGCAACGCCACCACCACGGAATAAGGGCGATCTTATAGATCCATGTCGGGCACGTCCCATTCCTTTCTGAGGCCATGGTTTTCTTCCACCACCACGCACTTCCGCGCGTGTTTTGGTATGGGCAAAACTTACATAACGATATTTACGCTGCCATTCTATATTTTCTTGTATGACATCAACGCGGGGCTGTGCTGCAAAAATGTCCGGGTGCAATTCGATAATACCTACTTTACGTTCCGGCACATCATCAATGTTTTCAATCCAAACTTGTCGGGAAACGGCACGATTCATTGGTTCATACTGCGGCCAATTTTGCGGCAAGATAAGTGGTGTCGCCGTTGTTTTTGACACTACAACCTCTGATGACGATTCCTTAACCACGTCGTGGGTGGCACGGCTGACAGTTTTACGCAGATTTGGTATTAGAATACTCTTGGTTTTATTTAACAAATTTAACATTTTCGATCTATGGATGTTTACAGTTTGTTAAAAGACGAATCCACCGAGTGAAAAGCGTGATATAAACACTCTTCCTTATTTTGACATTTATCAATTATTTGCACTACATACATTAGCGTGATCCAATACATTTCAAAAATGTGTACATCACACTATTTCGCTGCACTAAATAATTATCTGTGAGAAAGTGTTATTCATTTAATAAACGTAACTTTAAAGTTTTATATGTTTTATTTAGCAGTTTTTACAAAAGTTTATATTCCGGTACAAATAAATTGTTACCGCACGAATCACTCTGTTTTGTTTTGACACTGAGGTCATTGTGAATGGGACATTTTCATCGCTAAGAAGTATGCTATAATTTTTCGTGCGCCCTTCTCCAATCAGATAATCATTAATTAATTAAATAATTTAAACATTAAATACTGTTAAACAATATCAGAAAAAATGTTAACGGATACGGACGATGATTACTTCTTTGAAGAGGATAAAATGTAAGTTCAATATCATTTTGGTCAAACAAAATATCATTATATATTTTCGCACATATGTTTATCTGTTCTTAAACAACTGTGATCTGAGTAATAATCAATGTCACTGCATTTGTGTCGTCTATTTACGTTTCATCTAAATTAAAACTAATTCTCTAAACTTTCTTGCAACTAAAACTTTGTTCAATTAAATTTAAACATTATGTAAATCATAAAAGCATTTTAACGGAGTCTGCCGTCATTACACCACTATTGCTCAACGAGAAGTAAGTAGAAGCACTGAGACATAACAATGGTGGTACACTTTCTCTGAAACTCCATATATTCACTTATGTATTCCCAAAGTTCTACACATTTGGCGATGCAACCACAACAGGAAATGCAGACGAATTCAAATGCTGTCAATTCCGATTTTGAAGTAGAATTAGTGGTTGACAACGAACGGAAGTCGACACCCGAAACTGACGATGTCGCTCAGACTAATATTATTGTGCCCCTTTTGAGCGAGCGTTTAATTGAGTTCGATAGGCAAAAATTTGAATTAGACCGACTGTAAGTTGTGACTAGCACTGAACGATATAAATGTACGAAATTACCAAAAGCAGCAACTATATTTGTTGCTGTGCACCAATAATATATAGCATACATATGTACAATCTAATTTTGTATACAGATTAGCTCAACATACTGGCTAGCATTAATGTAGACAACGTATTGTCAATAAAGTAGGACCAAACTACTCCTAGTAGTTACGCTTGAAAGTCCATAGTTTCCCTATTTTTATAGTTTAGATTTTTGCAAAATTAGGAACAATATTATCGTAGTTTTTTGTGAAAGAAACGGTTGGAAATTATATTTTAAGATATATATATATATATATAAATTTATTTATATCGGTTATTTAAGCCAGCAAATATTGCAATCAACATAAAAAAGCGCAGCGCAACATGTGGACATTTAAATTTTCGCCCATATTTCGACAATTCAGGAATTACTATAAATTATAATTTACACACATATGTATATTACATTTGCATATATTCATATTTCCAATTAAGTAGTAGAAAGAAAATATTCAAACAGTAGCTTAGATATTAGATTCATATACACACACATATATATACATATGTTTGTACATACATATTTTAATTAATGCATGTATAAGTAAGTTGGGTCAAACTTATAGTTATATATTTTGATTGGCTACTTTAGAAAATGTTGACTCATGTTCCACCATCTCTAGCTTTATCACTGCAAATCTCCATACTAATTTCCAAAGCATCTGTAAGTTACATACATTCTCATACAAACATACATACATATATGTACATCATAAATAGCATCAGTAGACTTATGGTAGCATCACCGCATTACATAACAACAAAATTTTGAAAATAAAATCACAACTAAATCTAATTTTTCAAAATAACCAACATTGAACACAGGGGCATGACGGTGACTGTGAGTTCGGTGGTGATTACAAAGGATCAGAGCAATTTGATAGGAATTAGCATAGGCGGCGGCGCGCCACTGTGCCCCTGTCTTTACATAGTACAGGTAAGTTGAAAAATATTTAATACTTCTAATGCATAGATTGACCAATTTTCTCGACTGCCGTTAGGTCTTCGATGGCACACCAGCGGCGCGTGAAGGCTCACTGCAAAGCGGCGATGAACTGTTAGCTGTCAACTCGGTGAGTGTGAAGGGCAAAACAAAGGTGGAAGTGGCGAAAATGATACAGGCCGCCACTACAACGGTAACCATACACTACAATAAACTGCATGCCGATCCGGAGCAGGGCAAATCGTTGGACATTATATTGAAGAAATTAAAGCATCGCATAGTGGATAATATGTCCAGCAACACCGCAGATACATTGGGTCTTTCGCGTGCCATTCTCTGTAATGATTCATTGGTTAAGCGCCTGGAAGAACTTGAGGGCACCGAATTGATGTATAAAGGTTTGGTGGAACATGCGCGCCGCATGCTCAAAGCCTACTACGATCTACTGCAGACATATAAGGCATTCGGTGATTGCTTTACACATATAAGTGCGCATGAACCGCAACAGCGGGCATCTGAGGCGTTTCGCATGTTCGGTGAATTTCATCGGAATCTGGAAAAGGATGGTTTGAATATTATCAAGCAAATTAAACCGGTGCTCTCCGACTTGGGGACATATTTGAACAAGGCGATTCCGGACACCAAATTAACGGTACGCCGTTATGCCGATGCCAAATTCACCTATCTCTCCTACTGTTTAAAGGTGAAGGAGATGGACGATGAGGAGCATAGCTTCGCAGCGCTGCAGGATCCGCTCTATCGCGTCGAGACGGGCAACTACGAATACAGACTGATTTTGCGTTGTCGTCAGGATGCGCGCAATAAATTCGCCAAATTGCGCACGGATGTGTTGGAAAAGATGGAACTGCTCGAGTGCAAGCATGCAATGGATTTGAATAAACAATTACGCAGTTTGCTCGACAGTTTGGCACAGCTCAATCGTTCGGTTGTAGAGCGTATAGAAGCGTTGCCGCCACTCTTTCCGATTGAAGTTGATTTCAAAGAAACCGACTTCCAATATAAATCCACCACTCTGAAGCCACAAGATCTGGATGAGGAAGAGGAGGAAGAGCAGACGATCGTGCGTACCGATTCGCACAGTCTGCGAATGGCAAGCACAGAAGTCGTTTGTGGCTTAGAAGCTGTAGAAACACCAGCACCAGTGGTAAATATACAACAAAAAGATAATCTGCTGGACGAGCTCGCTACGACATCTGATCAGAGTGTGGACAATAATGAAACATTACTCAAAGAGTTGGGTCTATTCGGCGTGGATCTTATGTCAAATCCACAAACATTAACGAATCAAAAGGACTCGGTGGCCGCACAGAATGGCGCTTATGATTTCGATTTATTCCTTAATCAGTCGGCAGCAATGGCAACACAATTGGAACAGGATTTAATGTCAGCGAATGCGCTCGAAACCGATTTGTTGTTACAGTGAATCTACTTTTTGTGTGTGATGGTCATGAATTTCGGAAAAAAATATTTGTAAGTTGTGCGTTTTAAGTTAGTATTAGTGGAAGTATTAGCTAATACATAAGTATACATATTGTATTATTATACTATAAAATATAATAAATGGAAATACTAAAATTTTAGTAAAAAATTGCGCTAATTTTTATACTCTCGCAACAAAGTTGCTAAAGAGAGTATTATAGCTTTGTTCACATAACGGTTGTTTGTAAGTCCTAAAACTAAAAGAGTCTGATATAGGGTTATCTATACCAAAGTGATCAGGGTGACGAGTAGAGTTCAAATCCGGATGTCTGTCTGTCCGTCCGTCCGTCTGTCCATCCGTCCGTGCAAGCTGTAACTTGATAAAAATTGAGATATCATGATGAAACTTGGTACACGTGTTCCTTGGCTCCATAAGAAGGTTAAGATGGGCAAAATCGGCCCACTGCCACGCCCACAAAATGGCGAAAACCGAAAACCTATAAAGTGTCATAACTAAGCCATAAATAAAGATATTAAAATTTGGCACAAAGGATCGCACTAGGGAGGGGCATATTTGGACGTAATTTTTTTGGAAAAGTGGGCGTGGCCCCGGCCCTACTAACTTTTTTGTACATACCTCGAAAACTACTATAGCTATGTCAACCAAACTGTATAGAGTCGTTTCTTTTAGGCATTTCCATATACAGTTCAAAAATGGAAGAAGTCGGACAATAACCACGCCCACCTCCCATACAAAGGTTATGTTGAAAATCACTAAAAGTGCGTTAACCGACTAACATAAAACGTCAGAAACACTAAATTTTACGGAAGAAATGTCAGAAGGAAGCTGCATCCAGGCTTTTTTTAAAAATTGAAAATGGGCATGGCGTCACCCACTTATGGACCAAAAACCATATCTCAGGAAGTACTCTACCGATTTCAATGAAATTCGGTATATAATATTTTATTAACACCCTGATGACATGTACCAAATATGGGTGAAATCGGTTCACAACCACGCCTGAAATATCGATTATCACTTTATCATGCGAGAGTATAAAATGTTCGGTGACACCCGAACTTAGCCCTTCCTTACTTGTTCAGTACCGGTTTGCCTACGGATTTTATTGTGAAACTTCCATGTGGTGGGAATTGAGTGAATACATAAACTGCGTTTTCCACAGAAAAAAGAAGTGTATAGCTTTTGATGGTTATTAATTAAAATCGAGTTTAATGTTTCATATTAAAATTATGAAGGGAACACTTCTCCAGCAGAGTGGCAGTGAAAGCATAACGCCAGGAGAAAGCGAACCCGGTATCCCAATCGATGACGATGTAGCAGACGTTCTATTGCCCGACAATGAAGAAGTGCGAATAGTAATTACTACCCGTCTGAGCAGCAACAAACTGATAAGGAGCATGCATTCAGATTCAGAGATTGGAATTTAAGTGTGCTCTGCCGTCGCATTCGCGACTAGGCTTCCACGTCACTGTTGGCAGTCAACAAAAACCAAACTCTATAAGTCACTCATTATTCCCGTCCTGCTATATGGTGCAGAGGCGTGGACGATGACAACATCTGATTAGTTGACGTTACAACTTTTCGAGAGAAATGTTCTGCGAAACATTTATGGTCTTTTGGTTGGAACGATAGATGAACTGTATGAAATATACGATGACATTGACATAGTTCAGCGAATTAAGAGACAACGGTTGCGCTGGCTAGGTCATGTGTATGGATGAAAACGCTCCAGCTCTGAAAGTATTCTAGGCCGTACTAGCAGGGGGAAGCAGAGGAAGAGAGAGACCTCCACTCCGTTGGAAGGATCAGATAGAGATGGACTCGGCCTCGCTTGGAATCCATGACCGAATAAAAAATCCGAATCCTTTTCGCTTACGTAGACTCGACTGTCGTGGGAACAATACTCCACCTATTCAATGTTGTAAGTTCTCTGCTAAAACCATTCCGCTACCGGCGACCAACCAACTTCCCATCATTAAATAAAAAACAAAGTTTGAGTTACTGCTATTTTAGTTGTATTTTATATATACATATTTTTTTTTTTCAAGACGAGTTTAAACAATTGTATTTATGTATAATAAATTCAGTTTTACAGTCATGGATATGTAAGTACAGCTGAACACTGTGACTGCAAACTGTATATTGTACTTTCTCTGCGTTTTTTTGTATTCGTCGACATTTAACAATAATTTACAATAATAATATTAAACTTGCCGCGCCGCAACAAAAAGTTAAAGTTACAGTAGCAATGCCAAGTACATTCATTCATTAACAATAATTTGTTCACATTGCTAAAATCAATGGATGTGCAAGAATCGAATATAACAAGGAAAATAAATAAATAAATCTTAAGGATGAAAAGAAATTTGTTATGACATGATAAGAGATTATCGAGAGCGCATAATGTACGAATGTCAGATATGTAATAAATAAAACTACACACATATTTATGGGCGAAATAAATAATTACATTAACTATGATTATAAAACTAGCTTTTACATTTAAATGAACTAAACGAAAATATTCTATGAATTATAATATAGTAACAAGCGTATAACACACACATATACATATATATGTACATTTTATATTACATACAATTTTAATAGATTTTTTTTTTATATTCAACATTAAACTAAGCTACCAGATAACTAGCATAAATACTATTTTCGCAAATGCATTTTGGTGCGCAACCAGTGGGTGGAGGGAGTAAATACAAACGTGCTTTGAGCATGAATTTACCTAAACCCAGCCTGCTTACTGGTTACAACAAAATTTCATCCCAACACATAACTGCTGCTTAATACTATTTTGATACCACATCATGTACAATTTAAAAAAGAGTGTGTAAAGCGACGTTAGAGCTTTTCTTTTTGATACTGTTGTAATTGTGCATAGGTATTCTTTGTTCATTTCGTCCGTCACACACACACACACAGTTTGGAGTTTTTGCTTGCAATTTTGATTTTCATATTCACTGGGATTGTCTTAAATTTATTTATATGTATATGTAGCTTGTTGTTTAGCTTAGTGTTGTTGGTTTGGCGTTGATATGCCTTCTGTCTGTTGCTGTTGCTGCTGCCGCTGTCGGTGTCTTCTTTGACGCTGCACATTGTTGTAACAGTTCAAATTCGCTGTTACACGGCTTAGTAATTCTGTCATGCGATTCGGTATTTTTAGCAGTTGTTGACGTCGTTGACGCTTCATGGAAACACCGGCATCACTGTTCAATTGTTCCACCACAGTGGAGTGCTGTACATATGTAACGAATGTGTTTGCATGCTGCAGATCTTCGAGATCGACAAGGTCTTGCAGCGCCTCCACAGACACCACACGCATATTCACTAAACCATCAACAAAATGAGCGGCAGCATTGCTTCCCACCCCAACATTACCATGCCCAATAGCAGCGCCCACATTTACATCAAACGTAGCTGCATGCAACATTATGCGACCGGCATCACCGGCACTCACACAACTGGTGCCGGTTACAATGGCGGCCCGGTAATTGGCCGCATTCAGCGGACACTAGGTGTATGTGAGTAGTCTTTCATCGAGCAGTTTCACGCGCAATTTCTGTTTGTAGTGGTATTCCTTGAGGAAAGATTTGAGACGCACTGGTAGCTCCAATTCGGATATACCGTCATAGCTGGTGTTCGATACAATGGTGGCGCGTGCTAATTGCTGTAGCGAGAATACTTTTTTGCGATGGAATGGTACGGTCAGCATTGGTTCGAAGAACATAACGCTGCCGGGATCTTTGTAATGTTCCAATAAACCGGTTACGGTGGATGTGCTAAATACGGCTGGGTCATGACAGTCGAAACTAAATGAAGAAATAAAAAAAAACGTCAGTTAATATACATACATTTTCATTGTCATTCACAAAACTATCAAAAAATTACCTAAATTTGTGTCCACTCTGTTCGATACGCGCATGCAACGAACGTCCGTACTTTCGGAATGTTACCGAGAACAAGTATTCCTCTTGCGCTGAGTCGCGTAGTAAAAATGTGCCTTCAGGCTTGCCCTCAAGCAAACGCTCGGCCTCATAGCGATCCATTTTGCCCCAATAAAAACTCGAATTGAAAATGCGCTCCAAATCTGGCACGAGGTAGTGTACAAAATCTACTTGTGAGTGTACAATAGGCGACGTCACTGAAGTTTGCGTTGGATTTGTGTGATCGCGACCTTCGCTAGTTGTTTGTGGATTACTGCTGCATTTCGCTTCGACCTGCGCGCTTTCAGTTCTAATACCGTTTCCGATTTCCGCTACCATTAGGCGCTCTGCTGGCTTACTCGTCGTTGCTGTCGCCGACGTTGTTGTCGTCGTTGGATAAACCACTACATTTATGGAAGAGATTATTAGATCTTTGTTGGATGCCCAAACGGCGAGCTGCTCATTTGCTGCTGCCACTGTTGGTGTTGTTGGATACGCTGCACTTGAGGTAGTTATTGATACTGGAGTTGGAGGAGTATGTGAGGTGGAAGTTGTCATAGAATTAACGTTCCTAACAGCACTATCACGCTGACAGGTGGAAGAGCTGACCGTGGGTAGTGACATTCTTACTTCACTGTTCGACGCTCGTAATTGCTTTTTTCGTAAATGCGCCTCAGCTACTACTGGCGGCGTTTGAGCAGTGTTACGTGAATGCTTAGAGCTGCTGTCGCTACAATGATTATTGTTGCTACTATTCGATAGTTTGCTTAGTTGCGACTTACTGCTGCCGGAGGAGGATGTTGATGATTCTAGCATGCTTTTCAAATTCATAAATGCCGACTTGGCTTTCTGGCGTCGACTACTCACTGACCGCCGGCTATGCGTTGTAGCCGGGCTCTCTTCCGTAACCTCGTAATACTCAACGTTACCAGCGCAATCCGCTTCCTGTTCTACCAATGGTTCCGTTATTCGTAAAACATTTAAATTATTTGGAAGGGACGCTCTGCTATTGATGTGGACATTGTTATTGTTCAACATTGAATTAATGGAGCTGCCAGCAGCTTCTACAACACCAGCATCTGTGTGCGGCACCTTATTCGAATTTGTATCCACTAAGCGACGATTAGTATCATTATTTGCTGCCGTGTGTGCATGTGACTCAGCTGCTGGTTGCAGTAAGTTTTGTTGGGCATTATCCATCTCAGACGGCGAATGTGTTTTGAAGTGTATTTTTATAATAATCTGACCGCTTGAATTACTGGCCACTGATGAAAGGTTGGAGGTGTCAGCTATTGAATCGTTATCCAGACGTAAAATCGGCAAGAACTTATCACCGTAGACAGCGGTGACGTTACTGTTGGTAAGTGATGCTATTGAGTTTCTATAAATCTTACTACTCTCACTATTCGCAGGTGAAGACGATTTTGGAAAACGTGTTGAATGACGACGTGACGAATGTTTGGATAATTTGGTGGATGATGATGTTTCCTTGATTGAATTTTTATTACCGTTGGTAAGGCCAGCAGATATTTTGCTGGAACGGTGCCCCATCGGAAGATATTTATACAAGTTGATAATTGCTATCTATGTACATGGGTGTGTTATTAATACAGCGCATCGGAATCAGAAGTTAACTGAAATATAAAGAAAATATTGCATTGAATATAAAAATATGAGAAAACAATTAAATACACATATGTATATTATTATTGATTTACTACATTGCATTTAGTAAAAAAAATGTATGTAAATTCAAGAATGTCAACATGTTGCATGGTATGTATATTTAGATTTTTATAAAACAAGCACGGCTTATATTATTGTATAAGCTTACTTTATTTATTTACGTTAACGTTGTCTGCATACGCGATGTGTTATTATTTTATTTATTTTGTTTATTTTGTTTTAGCAATGCAAATTGTTTTATATGGCCCAGAGATCAGCACACTTGTGCGGAGAAAACAAACGCGCCACTGCCTTTATAGAACTTTGAGCGCAGCTACGTGCATACATATAGTACATATGTACATGCATATGTGGTTAAAATCAATTCTCCCAGAAAATTATATTTGTTATCAATTTTTAACGAATCGCACACTCTCCACGATAAAAATAAGCATACACAAGTTTGAAATCAAATTTACTCTTTACTTTCTGAGTATGCGCACATACATACACACATACATACATGCGTACATATGTATACATAGTTTGTATTTTTGCGTCGTTCATTCATGAAAATGTCACGAATACAATGTGCAACACATACACATGAATGAAGAATTGGAAAATATAACAAAACAATTAAATAGTACAATAAAAATGTGTAGTTTTATAACTGTATATAGCTATCCTCTAACTAAACTGAAGTTATTATTCTGTAATCAAATGAAGTTTTAGAAAATTCAATTTTCAATTTAATACATTAATAATCAATTTAAATACATTTTCATGTATTTTATTACAAATTTTTATCGCGGTACTACATTATCAAGCATCTCTTTTGTGACCCTTCTGGATGTCGTTTTAGAACAAGGTCCTTTGATATGCGTCTGACATTGAACCCAAATGTGTCGAGTGGATCCATTAGAGATGTTGTGATCCTCTGCTCTCTGATTTCTCTAATGCCAACGATTTTCAAGTACTGTTTCTATAACTTTTTCGATGTTATCGGCATTAACAGAGATAGATGGTCGACTCACATGAGGCAATTTTTTTAATGACTTCCCGACCTTCAATGAACAGTAATGAAACTACTTGGACTCGTGATAACATAGAAATACCCAGCAATATTTTTTACACAAAATTTCAAGGAAACTCGTAGTTAATACCGAAACAGCTGGCAAATTAATTGACATATGGAGATCAAACTTCACGTTAGCATAAAAAGTTTGTAACCACTGGAAAAAATTATATACTATATGGGTCAGTTCGGCTCAAATTTGTCAACTGTCGACTCAGCCACATTCCTGTATATTACTTCAAGGATATTTTCTGCCGTTACAACCATACATATGTACATGCATAAGTATGTTTTACGCATGTCTACCATCGCACTATTTCAAATGCCTCCACATACCACTTTTCATGAAGGTACTCATCGACACAATAACTGTTTGAAATGCTTATTGTTGTTGTTGTTAGCTTGCCAGCACAAAACAACCAAAAACGCAACAATGAGTCTGCAATACGAAGAAGCGAAATTTTCAAAAGGCTGATCCCTCGAATTTCTTGATCTGCGATAAATCTTTTTTTTTTAATTTTTCTCCAATGCGAAAATGCGAGTCCAAAGAACAATGCGACAGTTGGCTCAGCTCAGCAGTTAATAATTTCAATTTCGTAGAATATTGTGATGTGTGGTGCATGCTGCTGACACCAGTCAGCCAGCCGAACAAGCAACTAACCAACCGTCGTCAGTTAAGCGGACCCAGCAACAACAACAATATGTAGTGACTCACACTCAATGGTTACCATCTGCTGTTGGACGGTTGGCGTTTTCCATTAAGTGTCTGCTTGCTATGCTAACAATACATGAAGCATAATAATACAGAAACATATGTATGTACATATTTACGCACGTAAATCGAAGAGTAGCACCCAGCAGGGAAAATTTTCAATAACTAGTGGCGGTGGTGGTGGACGTTGTTGATTTTTGCATACATATGTCGATAGTCCACACTTCTGAGAACAAAGCAATCATATTCTTCAAAAGAATGAAAAGAGGTAGTTAAATCTACGGTAAATGTGTTGTTTTTGTAATGCCCGAAAATATTTCTCTAATAATTTTGGGGAATGTTGTTGAGCTGACAAAACTTGGTTGGATTAGGAGGTATTTGGCAGATTTGGAAGTACTTAGTATGGGTTTCTTTCAAGATAGTCGGATTTCAGGTGTTGTTATTACATTTTGATGGTAAATTTTACTCTACTTTTCAAAATTAGTCAGTAGTCCTTATCTCTTCGAGTTTTATTAATTTTGTGTTTGACTAGAACTTTCAATGTTCCTACAAGTAAATACTGTATACAAGTATATAGTATGTATTAATGTACATAACATAAATATGTATATTGAAGTTGCAAAAAGTCAAGTATTCTTTTATAACTTTTAGTATAATTGGTTTATTGAAAGGGCGGTGTCAAATCGCAATACCAATATACATATGTACAATAACATGTTATGTTGTCTTAGATTTATGTGCATCTATGATGTCCATACATAAACGCAGATATGCAGACAATTTACAGTTTTTTCTGTAAGTACAATATTTTTAAGCATCATGTCGTTTACCCGCGTTCGGCACTTTCATCCAGAAATGCTTCCGCAGAAATGTATTTAATGGATTTTTCCGTTAATGCTTCCTACAATTTCCTCGTAAAATTCTGGTCACTTAACGCTTTCACACAAAACAAAATTCGAGTTCAAACAGTGGTAGGTACATACATATCTACATATGTATGAATGTATGCGTTACATTCGTATCTGTGTGTGTGTGGCTTTTGTTTGTATGGCGCTGCTTTGCAGCTACGAGGAATTCATATGAAATTTCAAACCCACTTCATTTTCTGTTTCTGGAATACGAATGCATTCTGTAGAAAAGTAAATGATGTTTTCATTGTTGTTGTTGCTGTTGAGTGCAGTATTAGCGTGCATTTGATTGTGTACTTAGAAGGCAGAGTGTATGAGCAAAAGAAATTTTCTTGAGAACACAATCAAGCGTCATTGCACAATTTTCAGAAACGAAATCAAATGTACATAAACGTACATACAAACATAAAAACGTATTAAAAAGAAAAATATACATATGTATGTATGTATATAAATATAAATTTGAGAAAAATAAGTTGTTTCAGTTCAAACAAACAACACTAATAATTTCTTAATAAGAGTGAGGGGTATTTGAATTCTTCGGACTAAACGATCCTTTGAATAAAATATTAGTAATAGCGCATTTCAAACCAGCTTGGAAGTTAAGATGCGCCCATAGAGAAGCATTGAAAATATTAGCTCTACTATTTGAATACTAAAAATTTAATATAACTCAAGAATAACGGTAAAACTGGGCATATCTTTGATTTTTTTGCAATTAAATTTTTGTCTAACAAAGTTTTACTTTTTGTACACACTGTACGTTTGGTTAAACGACAAAAATTCTTTAGGCAAGACTTCTATCTATCATTATCTGTAAAAATCCCATATGTACCAAAACAAATGTTTTTCATAGATGCAAGGCAAAAGACACATGTATGTATGTAAATATGCACACTGCTGCATAGTTACTAGAAATAACAACCATAATTGACCGTTTGTCTCGTGCTGCGCTTTAAATGTAAAAGACCTTGACAAACATACCGGAAAATTGCTTTGATATCCTTTTCATAAATAACTAAATAAATGTGAACGCACAGCTTATGTACATATACATATGTATATGTATGTATGTATATTTGACAACAGTAAACGAAAAACCTCCGACCTAGTTTGGAGTTATAACTTACGGTGATTTGTACACCAAAGTCCAGACATTTTCAAACTGATATAAATATTTACACACTCACACATACATGTATACATACATACATACATACATACATATATGTGTGTAAATGTTTGTTTGTTGTAATCGCAGTAAAACGATTATTCGTATAGTATTAATCGGTTAATATTCACACGAAAAGTTACAAACCGGATATTCAAATAAACGGGTTTCAGCTTATTATAATAATTTTAAAAGCCCTAATAAAAATATTAATACATAGTTTTGTTCTAAATAAAATTAGGCACAACAAAATTCGTTAGCCCAAACATAAAAACTTTTTTGCAGTTACATATACACATACATACATACATGGTGCATGACACTCACTTAATTAAGTAGTTTTAGCTGGAAATTATTTTTGCATATGAATTTGTATAGATACATATGTACATACATACATATAAGTATGCTTGTAGATAAAAACACCACAATCAATTTAGAGTGCAGTGATTTCGCAAAATAATTTAAATTGTCATACGCCTGCGGAGGGCAGGTGGTTTACGGCGAAACTGTCGTTTGGGTATTCCAGGAAGCTCTCATCCAATTTGTGTGTGTGTTTGCATGTACATATGTAGGTCGTTGTTGAGTGCGTATTGGCGCAAAATTCAAGCGAATCGTTAACAGTATTGCACGGATTCTTCTTGGAACTTGTTAAAATGATGAAAAGGAAATGGTGTTGAATATTTCAGCGCATGTTTGTGTAGATATACCATATTTGATGTAGCTAAAATTGCACAGAAACTATATACATACATACATACATATGTGTTTATAGTGGCTTATATACGTATGTATGTATGCACAAATGTAACACAAGTAAGGGATTAATAAAAATAAAATTATGAATTATGGTTCGTTCAAGTCCGCTTATAGTGAAATGAAGTAATACTTTTCTTCTCTATATTAACTGTTACATGCTATTACCTCTTTTAATTAAAAAAAAGTTGCTCTTCATTTAAAAGATTGCGAAAATTTTCACAAAATTTTCTGGGAAAATTTTAATAGTATAATAAGTATATACATACGTATGTATGTGCGTAATTTTCAACAGGTCTTTCTTCGGAATCTGTTATCAAAAGCTCTATGTCGCTTTTCTTGGAAGTTCTCCGATTAAACGTGAAATGTATTCACAGCATATACTTGTATATCTTTTACCTATGCGCACATGTATAAATATGTACATGAATATCTTACTTAAGCACTTTGCCAATTTCTAGGAAGCAATATCTATTCGATCGCATAAATATTGGAGATTAAATAACTAATAAATGTACGAAGGTCGTTCAACGTAAGAGTGTAGATAACATTCGTTTCACTTAATTATATAAACATACATACATATGTGCATAAGTATATTAAGCGTGTATTTTCGTAGTATACACTTATCAATCAGGTTACATACAGACATACATATTTATGGGTAGGCATGAGTTTGGGTGTTGTAATTTCTGTTAAGAAATAAAATAATTAAGTAGTAAGAGTCTGTGCACCCCCGTGTTTATTAACTTAAATATTATTGTTAGCAGAATTTATATTATTAATACAATTCTGAATAATAATATATGAATACATTTCTATTTAATTTTCACAATTTCATTTGAATACTCATTTGAGACTTTGTTATATTATATTTTCTAACCTATACCTATGTATATGTATGTATGTATATCTGCTTATATTTATTCATAATTTAACACTCCAGTACCTTTACCTAGTAAATGAGAAAGTAACTTCAAGCCAAGCCAATGGTCTTACGTTGGTATACATTTATTGCCAATTAAAATTTCTGATTAAACAGATTTCATCGAATGATTTCAGTATAACAAAATGTACTCATAATAATTATCTATGCGATAACAAATTGTGGTTTCTAAGAAATTATTTACTTGAATATGAAAACAATGTACATATGGACGATGATAAACAATATAGCCATGAAAGGATGACTTATACATATATCTATAAACTGTAAATGTATGAATAATTCTTATCAGTTGGAGAGTTAACAAACTACAAGTATGTACTTTACCCTATTATACAGTACTATGCTGATTAGTCATAAATAAATTTTACTTGATTTTTTAGGTACAAATTTTAATTGGAATCCCCTAGCAACCATTTGGATTATCCTGGTGTTTTGTGCATTTATTCCTTTTCTAAAAGTTACGCGTATGTACATATGTACATACATGTATGTTACCGATGAGGCAATAGACAATTGCTCATTACGTTTGACTTAAAAATAATTAGCGCGCACGAGTCACGAGTATTGTTCCTATTAATATTATGATGTCACAACGGATGACAAGCCTCCAACGCTTTGAATATATTTAACGTGTTTCCAACGTCCATATTTTTGCAAGTACATACCAACAAATTTATTTTGAGAAAATGTTTTAACCCATACATATTTGTATGTACATATGGTTTAGCAACACACTGAAGTGCACACAGACTTTTATAATTGTAATTACATTTAAATATTAGACGTTTACATAAATATGTACATAGATACCATATAGGAAGTTTGATAGCATTTTAATACACCTGCATTAATGTGTAAGCCATTATTCTTGGAACAAGAAGCAAATATTTGCTGATCTAAGTAGCGACAAATAAAATTAACGCGAAAATCTATTTTCTTTACTTTTTCACTTTGACATTCACCAACTAATTTCGCTTCCATTGTAAATTCACAGAAACAATTAAAAATTTCCCACGAATCGAAATAAAACGACATGAAGTGTATAGTACTCGTTTTTTTTTCTCTGCCACACGCTGATACTCACATAATACAATGCACACAATACCACACTCGCACACCTTTGCTTTAAGCATTGGCAACCGTGAGTCAATTCTCAACTGCTGTTGGGCTCTCATTTTTTTCATTTACGCTCTTATTCGATTTGTTTCATAGCTGTATACGTTTATACACAATCATACACACACATACACAAGCCTGTCGTGCATTGCCATGAATAAGTGGCGCTCAGCGCTTTCCGTTGGCCACACGGCACCCCGCGTATTTTGCTCCCATCATTCACACTTTACCAAGTATTTATTTTTCGTACTGTGTTGTCTTTGCCGTGATGCCATGCCGTCCTCACACAACGCTATGTAATTTGTTGTTGCTTCTGGCTGTTTTTGCTGTTGCTTGTCTGTCACTTCTGAGAAATCGGTCTAAATTAGAAATGCGCTTCTCGGAAATTGGTATCTGAATGCGTCAATAATGTTTGCTTCTTTTTTGGCCGTTTTCTGCCTTTTGATTAAAATTTCTTGGAATTTTTGCTATTCAACTAATATTCGATATTTAGTGTACATAATTTTTAATCATACCACACATTATTTTCGCGATTTTCACTGCATAAATATGTACTTGTAGTTTTTCTATTTGCACCACATTCGTAGAAATTATTCCGCAATCAAACCACTAACAATGTTGCGCAAAGTGAATTTCACGATTTCTCAGTATTTTATTTACCTGTATGAATTGCACTCTGCTCCTCAATAAGTATTTTTCTTAATATGATTTCTTTTTGTACACATACACGAAACTATTTAATGTTAGCTATTTCGTTTTTAATTAGCACCTTTTTACTTTAAGTTACTTGGGCAATTGTCAATATTTAACTAAATGCAATTTCCTGTTTTCACAATATTTTAACATTTATTGCTCTATGAATTTAATCAAACACCATACTTGCTGGCACTAAAAACTGGTACTGAATTAGTGAAAAGGGAGACCGACTATTAGCAGGGTTGCATTTCAAGAAATTACCCTGAGTGTTGCCATATGCATAAAATTTATATCTATCATTGAATGGGTAATGGCGTAAATGAGTAATGGCGGAAGTAAAACACTTGGAAATGCCAAACAGTTATATTAGACCGCAAATCCGTTATTTTAAAATAAGGTAACACGTGACAACATGACAATTAACACACTTTTATTAATGCATTTTAAGCGTGGAATATCGTTGCTTTGTTTTGTTTATAGTTTTGAAAAAAAAAATAAAAATAAAAAATACAGAGTTGTAACAGTCACTCAACTTTTACACACACATACATATACATACATACTACAAAACAGGAGTGATATTTGTTTTGTACCTATTTGTAGTGCATAATACAGTGCTGCTGCAAAGAACATAAGAACATGCACATAAAATTACAGTAATATTGTTTAAAAAGTAAAACTTATTTGCTATTTGAAACTATGAAACAATTTCCAATATTTATTTTATTTAAAACGGTCTAATTTTATTTATGTACAGTGATATACAATCAAACACACAGTTACACATTTTCATGCGTGAATCTCTTTCGAGTTTTCTATGTAGTATAGTTTTTAGATAATACTATTTGTCATAGCACAATAATCTGGTTATCAACAAAAGCAAGTTGTATGTCTTGAAGACGAATATAATCTTGTCAGACCTTAGTTTGCGTTTGTAATTTCAACAACAAACAACGTGAAGCAGCTGCCACAGCAAGGCAAGTGCTCACTGTCCGTCTTTGTAGCTGATTTAATTTAATTGCCTTCAATTGGATTTGAAGCTTCATCACAGCCAGAGTGAGTGGATAGGCAATTAAACATTTTGTTATATAAACAGCTGTAGTCTTCAAGACATGGATCAAGCTGATAATCCACAAATACGCCGATCCATATCGATGCCGGTTAAACCGCGTCCGATTGAATCCAAATCACTCAAGCGTTCGGAAGAAAAGGAGCGCATCAACGAATCGGTCGACTATTATCCAGAGAGTCCAATTGTGCAGCGACGAAAGAAAAGCGATTTGGATGGACATATAAGCAGAAGTGCTAACAAGTGAGTATGCTTTAATTAATGTGGAACAACTTAAGTTGATTTAGTTGTACACACATGATAATGATAAGTGTATGTATGTATATGTATAGTACATAGGTACATATATGAATGTACATATTATTTTGTTCAACTTGAGTGCCTTAACTAAATTTATGTTCTGCAATCTACTAAATTTAAATTCAAGTGTTTAATCTTTTTATCTATCTGTGAGTCATGCCTGTTAAGTTTTATAGGACAAGCTGAGATGCAGGCAAAGTGAGCATCAACAGCAGCAACCGAAAATCGCGCATATCGCTCCATACTGATAATGAAGTATAACTGAATAGCAGCTAGAAGAACAATTATTTTTACTGAATGATTTCACAGTATGTCGCGCTAGAGCTTCTGGAGCTCTGGTCGAGAAACGTACACATATGACACTATGGTCACTGCCTTGCAATAATATCCAATTCAAGGTATATCTATGTATGTGCATATTGCAAACATTTCACTTTTCTGACAAGTTCTGCAAATATTAGTTTATGGACTTTGCCGCGATGTTTTAAATTTCATACTCACTCAACTATTAGACGTAGGACATTTTTAGAATGATTTATGAATTCAAATTTATACACTTATATAAATATAAGCATATATAATGCAATGTTATTTTGACGAGATTAATGTTCACATGCATTCGCTAATATGCCGTTAATCTTTCCAGTGTGCCTTGTGCAAGCGATTGGGCTGGTAGTGCAATTGAATTGAATCGTGATTGCCGTTACAGTGGTAAGTTAGCGGATTCTTATGAATATACGTACTCCTTTGAAATTCTAACACGCAGATTAATATACATAGATCCAATGTGTTCGCGACATCGTCATCATCGCGTCATAGAGAAAAGTGGCCATGAGAATGTCAATTTTCGGCGTATACCACAGAAATCGTGGCGCTATGTTAGAGATTTGGTAACAACAATGGTAAGCGCGTTAACACGCTTATTCCCAAAGAAATGTCTTGCAACAGCACCCACAAATATGAACAACACAATAACACCAGCATCAACTAAATTAAGTTTTGAACAATCGGATTTAGAGTCATGTGCGGAAGATGATGCATACAGTTATTTGGACACAAATCAAAATAAAACAAATGGAAATTTTCGCATTTAAAAGTAGTATGCCATAACAAATCGCATCAACTGAAATTAAACTAAATAGTAATAACTAAAATAACATATGTCACCACTGTACAAATATATGTATGTATGTCCTGGATTTTATGTGCATGCACTTTTGTATATATATAAGTACATACATATGTATTATAGTTTTCGTTGAAACTAAGCATTTAACAACCACTAGCCAAGTTATATAATCACAAATACTCAAACAATATGTATACAGTTATTTGCACTAATGTTAAATTATGTTATTTGTTGAAATAAATCACCATTAACAACTAATTCATAGTTTTTACTTCTTTTTACTACTAAATTTGATGTTTGATGTATATATAACAGTTTGAGAGGCACTGTATGCATAAAGGATAAGTATATGTACAAATGCATGTGTTGTACAAAAATTTGGCGCCACCATGCACTGCATACTCATTTTTCGTGTATATATGTATATAAAAAAGTCGATATGTTCACTTGCACTGTTTGGAAGCAAGTGCCGCACTTTTCAAATTTAACAGCACTTTTTTGAAAACTAAATTCAACTCCCTTTATAAGCAAATCATTGTTTATAACTATATATATATATATAATAAACTGTGTATGGTATATGCTTAGATCGAACTAGATTGGAAATATATGCTGACGATTTTTGTTGGAACCTACTTCCTCACTTGGTTCTTCTTCGCCTTGCTCAATTATATGGTTGCCTATTCGCATGGCGATCTAATGTTTGACGAAGTCACCGGTGAGCGTTTGGGCGAGGGCAAGGAACCATGTATTAAGGGCGTGTATAATTTCGTCTCGATGATCATCTATTCGGTGGAAACACAAACCACAATTGGTTTTGGTGAGAAATATGCGAGTGACGAGTGTCCGGAAGCTATATTCCTATTCGTTTTGCAAATGATATTGGCTATTGGAATTGAGGGAATGCTCGTCAGCATGGTATATGCAAAGACAGCAAGGCCAGCAAAGCAAATAACGAAAATGAAATTTAGTGACAAAGCGGTGGTGAGTACA